TAATTAGAATATTGCATCATGACTTACAAGTTGCAAAATAATTATTAACTCTATGATCATATGTAAGATTGAGTTAAAGAAGCCAGTTATCAAGATTTTTGTTTTAAAAAATCATTGATTAGAAGAGGCTAGACATGGAAGAGCTCATACTAAAAAAAAAAAAAAAAAAACAGAATGCGAAATCTACTTAGACCTTGGAGCAGCCCACAGTGACTGGAGCACAGTGTTTACACATTTGATAACCTGAACCTCGCAAGCAATGACTTGCCTTTGGTGACTCCAAAGGAGAAGCATTGGGAAGCGGTGTACAGAATTGGAAGAGGACTTTGAGATCAGTTTGCTCAGCACCTCTCTTTACAGATAAGGAATGTGTGACCTAGTGTGGTAGGGGACTCTGGGGCCTAATTGCCTGGATTTATTTGTGACCCTGTACCACAGTCATGTGGTCCACTCAGTGCCTTGTTTTGGGTTTCTTGTTATGCGATTAAGTGAATTAATAGTTGTGAAGTGCTTACAACTGTGTCTGACACATCACACACACTAGGAGCAAATCAGTTTGTTAAATCAGTAATGTAAAACTGGGACCCAGAGAAAGCAAGTGACCTGCCTAAGGTCATGGAGCTCATCACAGCCTTGCAGGGATAGAGCTAGTCTTGTCCCAAAGACTTTATCATTCCTTTCCCTCAGATTCCTATGCCATTCCCAGAATGTGAGTTTGCCTCAGAGCTGGGGTTCAAGCTTTAATACTAACCACTCTGAACCTCAGTTTCTTCATCTCCAGAATTACCATGATCCTAACACCCAAATCATAGACTTGTCAAGAAGATCAAATGTGATCGTGTACTTTGAAAACTATAGGGGCCGGGGATTCAGCTCAGCGGCATAAGAACCTGCCTTACAAGCAGGCGGTTGTGAGTTCGATCCCTGGTACCTATAAAAAAGGAAAAGAAAAAGAAAACTATAATCTGCTATGTGAAGGTTATTCAACATTATTTTGAGCTAAGAAGAGCCTTGAGAATGTTTCAAAACTGCTTACATTGTCAAGAAGCTGAGGTGGGGAAAGGTTTTTTATATTTTATTTTGAGACAGGGTCTCACCAAATTACCTAAACTGGACCCAAACTTTCAATCCTCTACCTCTTAAAGAATCTGGGTGAGGTGATAGTGGTTTTATTGTTGTTTTTGTTTCTTAGCAGTGCTGGGAGTTGAACTCAGAGACCTGGGTATACTAGGCAAGCATTCTACCACTGAGCTACACCACTCATCACTAGTATAAGACAATCTTCAAGGCCTTTTCTATTTTTAAAGTTGGACAATCTTAGAACATTGTCCAGAATAGTAAATAGTAACAAAAGTTAATGACCTTGAGAATCAGAGAGCGCTGATGTCAGTTCCAGGGTGAACTGGACCCTTGACTGCCCTGTAATAAAATCCTCCCGAGGTTGCTTTGAATCATGGATGTGAAAATGCCCAACTCAGCGCCTGACACATTGTGGGTGCAGAGTAAAAACTGATTTGCTTCCTCTCTCCATCCTTCTCTCCCTCACTCCCTCCCTCCATCCCTCCAGTCCTCCCTCTTTTCCACCCTCTGTTCCTTCCTTCCTTCCTTCCTTGGTTTTTCCTCCCTTTGTTACAGTAGGGGCAGAATCATTCAGGCTCCCTCCTGCTGCTGGTGCAAACCTTCTCTGTACTTGCAGAGCGGCTCTTACCTTTCAGAACTGCTTTCTGCTCACTCCACTTAGTTGCAACTCGAGGCACAATGACTCTGAAGGAAGCACAAGTAACAGAGAGGCCCCTGGCAACAAGGGATTGGTTCTTCCAGCTGGGCCTTAGGAATGGTGGCAGGGTGCTGAAACGGAGCCATCCCATTTTCCCTGCAAAAAGGAGCAGCAGATACTTCTGCTTTGTGCCTTTACGAGACACAAAAGATCAGACTTTTTATTTGCACACTGCTTTACTTTGCAGAATTCCCTTTTGAAGTTCTACGCCAACACTCAAAAACAACATGCAGTGCTGTAAGCCAATTCCTGCCCCTTGACCCTGTCGCTGAGTTGATCAGAATTTTCAGCAGAAAAAGACAAGGAGAAACCCCTTTCCTGTAGCAAATGCTGGAATGTTCCTTTTTCCTGGAAGCCAGTGTTCCCACATGGCCCTCCTACAAATGTCTGCTGTGGGATCCCCTGCTTATGAAATTTGAATGACATTTGAACCTGATATGTTACTTGCTTTTTAGTTCCAAATATCATTTTTCAAGATGAAGGTCTGGAAATTTGGAAGAAGAAGGGCAAAAGAGACATACCTCAACCCAACTAGTCCTTGAAGAGGTACTATTTAGGAACCTCTCTATTTCCTGAAGAAAAAGCTGTAAAGTGTACAGTGTAAATATTATGCTATCTCAGATGCAGAGCCCTGCATGTATGACTTCTGTGTGTGGAAGCAGGTGCACTGAGGCTAAAACCCTGTTTGTATTGCTTTCTCACCATTTAAAGGATTCCTGCAGGTTGGCAGACACAGAGGAACACTTAGAGGCACTCTCCCCTCCATCCCCCTGCCTGCCCCATTCAGCAGAGAAGACCACACAACAAGATGGAGGGGTCTTGGGTTTCTGATGGCTTTGCACATGCAGTAGCTTTTCAGCAAGCGTTGTTAAGTACCTACTGTATTCAAGGCCTGCTACAGGGCACAAAGTATAAAAGGTGGTAAACCAGCTGCTGCCTCTTTTTGATAAGAGGTTGCCAGTGGTTTTTGATCAAAGATCACTCTACACACAGAAAATTGTTTTCGTATCCCAGGGAATCTAGTGTCTTTCAGGTAGCACTGTATTGTATCCCAAGGCAAGTCTGAGGCTTCAAAGTTCCCAGGATAAAACCAAGACCTAAAAGAACAGAGTAAGCACTAGCAAGTGAGGGAACAAAACAGCCACTAAACACTGGCCCTGAAAAATAGCCATCTCTGTAATACTGCACATCAAGGCCCTTCAGATTTAAAATTAGTCTTTGATCCTTTAAGTAAGCTTCCCTTGGCTCTGGCTGTCTGTGCAAAATGGATGATTGATCACCAATAGAAACTTAATTATCAGCTAAGCAATTACTATTTAGTTCCAAGTACATCCCAGGTTTCTACTACTACTCAGAGTAATTTATAGAAGAAAAGCTTCTAATTAAATAGTGAAATAGCATTCATTAGTACATCAAAATAAATATCTAGCACTAACATTTTATTAATTTTCCTAATTTTTTATTTTACTAACAGTTTGCTAATTACAAGAGTCATTGGTTTAGCATCTGTGAGACTCTCAGTTTGATAATCTCTTGCTATTTAAGTGAAGAGTAATTGATATATGGAATTAGAGCATTCTAGGTGACTTTCAATCATAAAAGTCAAGTTGTTAGAACTTTGCATTCCATTTGATAAACAGTTGACCTTAAGGATGAAGATCACAATACAGAAGGATAAACATTTTTATTTGTAAAATTAAAAAGTAAGATAATTTAATACCTACTATGACAGTCTTTTGATCCTGTTATAGGATAAGCACAGAGAACTGCTAACTTGCTGTTCTTTCCTGGATTTGTAGCTACATAGATTTGTAAAAATGAACTTTTGCTCACTTTTTCTTCTCGATTTTCCTTACTGCATCTTTCTGCCTCCATCGTCTGTCCCAGCTTACCGATTCCCATTTCTCATTGGGAGAGTCAAGAGCTAAACACTTTATTTGCTTCCCATAAATGCTTCACCCACTTTTGACCCCCAAAATAACTTAAATACTTTTGGTTCATATCTCCACTCATATTGTCCATCTACCTGTAATTGATTTGCTTATTTGCTCATTTATTGGTTATCTTCTATGTCTGGTATTTAGTTTGCAATTAGCATTTCAGTGGTGAAGAAACATGTTCCTTGGCTTCCCAGATCCATGCAGAAGTTACATATTACTTTATAATTGATGAGCAAATGTGAAGATGCAATAATGACTATAACTATTCTATGTTATCTGTGGTGCAGAAGTAAAAGGTACCATGAAAATCTGTAGTAGAAGTGCTTGGCATCGGGGCAGGCCTGAGGAAATGGTGACAAGCTAAGGTCTGAAGGAGGGGTAGGCATTAACAAGGTGAACAGAAATGGAAATGAGCATTCCAGACAGAGGAAACAGCTCTTCATGCGGGGTGGTTGGGGAGGGGACACCTGACATTTAGAAAGCTGAAAGAAGTTCTGCTCACTAATAGGCAGAGACTTGGAGAAGTTAAGGTAGAGGCCTGAAGATTTGAAGCCCAACAGGCCAGGTTAAAAATGTTTTATGTAAACCGGTTCATTTAATCTTTGTAGTAATTTTGTAAGATAGGTACCATTTTGGTATACCGCATTTTATAGATGAGGGAAATGAAACAGAGATCTTGTGAATTTCTGATCGTATGAATCCTACAGGAAGGCTGTACGATTTACAGAAACCTTGAGACCAGGTTTCGTTGTAGGCACTTGGTTGTATTCTCTGCTGCCCATGAATTACCTATTAACCACTACTCCCCACCACTTCTGTGGCGAATACACATGGGCACACATTTAAAATACGACTCCAGCATTTGTTATTCCAGCTGAAATTCATCTCATAGGCCTTGCCTGCTAAAAGCATTACTTTTATGTCAAAGGCTGAGATATTTAAGGCTTTGTTTTTCTTTTAATATCACCTGCTAAGTTCCTTCTTTGTGTGCACACATATTGAACAGCAACAATATTTCCGTAAAATAAAAGCTATTGTGTGATAACAATGTTTGCCTCCAGTTTTTTAAAATCTATGCCTGTTCCACAGTGCCTAGAAAACGAGGGTCATTTCTATCACTAAAACTATTTATTATTTTCTGGGGCTATCTTACTAGTTGTCCTACAACTTACAGTTGTCCTGGCCATTCCTTGCCAAACCCTAAAAAGATACACTGAAAAGTTTCTTACCAGATTGCTCACATCTGAACTCACATTAACTCTGTTGGTCATGTTTTATTCCAGACACTGCTGAGAAATTCATCAGGCTGTGAAGTACGCAGTGATGAGTATCGAACAGAGTTTACCACAGCTTTACAGCGTGTTGATCTATTCTCGGGCCAATTCAAACAGGTGCTTCTAACATCTATATCAACCTTCGTTAAAGGAGACCTCACCATTGCTAATCTTGGGACATCAGAGGGTCGTTTCATGCAGGTAATTGCTTTCTACCTGATATTATGCAATTAGTGTGGTTTTGTTTTTGCAGGAAAATGTTTGCTATAAACATCACAATGTATAAATGACAGTAGAGGCTAGAAACAGGGACTAAAAGCCAAACAGTGAAAGCTGTCCCACTTTTTATGAAGTGTATGGCCTATTTTTGTTAAGTTTTTGAAGTGGTTGTTTAATTTTCTTTTTTGGAATGGTTTGGATCTTTTTTCCATTCATAACTTTTATCACATGATTGGAAAGTAAAAATGAAACAATTAAAGCACTTCCAGGCGATGTTTTCCTATTCCAAGGGAAGCTACGGATCAAAGGAAAGCTATTGTGTGAACTGTGTGTCTCCATGAGAAGCAACATTCACATCATTGAGAAGTATTGGCAGGAGTTAGGAAGGGATATTACAGTCAGAGTCCCATTGTAGCTCAGGCTCTTCCGCAAAATGGTGGGGTCAGACACAAAGAAGTTCAAATACTTAAAAAGGGAGAAGGGTATTAAGAAGTGCTTTAATGGCTAGTAACAGCATTTCCATAAAATAAATGTTCATAGTTTAAACTTGACTAAAGTTACCATGTTTCCTAGCTACAGGAATCATAGCACTTTGCAGAAATTAACATGCTCTAGTTTTACTGCTTTTATATTTATTACTGCTTTCAGTATGATTCATTCGTAGATTCTTGATCACTGCAAAATGACAGTGACATTCATGGTGTGTATGAAGACTAGAAATTTCTTATAAAGGACAATGTTTATTTCATAGTTGTCTGATAAAATTAGCATCCTGGTCCGACAACAACTTATAGTAAACCAATTAAGGAGGAAGTTGTTTTCCTATGACTTGCATCTCTTCATGTACTATATCTGTCTTCCCTTATGAAATATAGTTTTTACATTGCCACTCTCTTTATCATCATTTGGACTTTGGCCATTGCCATATTTTAAGAACAGTAAAATATGTCTGTTTGTCTTATACTAGTGGGTATGGTAGAATTTTTCAAAGTCATAAAACCTTCCTAGCTCAAAACTGACAGCGCAGATCCGATGGTCTAAATGTTCCTATACTAGTAGTATCTGCGGCTTCTGTTGCCTCACAGCCAACCACACTTTCTCCTCCTCCTTTCTCCGGTCCATTTCGTTTATTTACCCACCTGTTGCATCTGTTCTCCTTGTAGCATTAATTTGTGTTTATATGTTTTTAATGTCTGTTGCCGGTATTCTATAAAATTCCAAAGGAGCGTGAGAGAAGCTTGCATCTGTTGAATTCCTAATGTATTCATGGTATTGGCTTGCTTCCCTTTATCTTCATTTCTGCTTTTCTTTTTTTTTCAAAATTGTCCATTATCTTGCCAATTCAGGTTCGCATTAGTAAGCTTCTATGGCCACTTTAAGTCTGACAGGTTTTTTTCAACATCAAAGATTTCCTGTCTATTTCCAGATGTTAAAGTTCTAATAAAATCCCATTTTTAAATAGATTGCTTTAATAACAAAGAGTCTGCACTATCCAAAGAATATAGAATGTATCATCTCATTATAATAGAAATGCTATAGCAGATAATTCTATCCTTGTCTCCTAGCATGTGTGTAAAAGATGCTATCTTACACTATTAACTGTGCATCCAAAACAAAACATAAAAATAGATACATATTCCATGAAAATACTATCAGTATTTTTGATTTTTTAAAACAAGATGACTTTTAAGTCATCACATATGTATAGAGAATGTACTAAATTTGCTTTACCCAGCAAATACGTGACACAGAGGAAACACTGACATAGAACTTGCCTTTAAGAAGCTATAATTTTAGTAGCAGAGGAAAAAAAAAAAGACATTTAACAATAGTGCATACAGACAAAGGGCTCTAGGGACACACAGATGGATTTTTCTAACGCTTGTCTAAAGAATTCCGTTAAATTTCATATAAATAAACCCCCAGCATTTGAAGATAGCCAACATCACTGAAATCCATTTTGTGTACAGCACATAATTCTTGGTGGAGGGGCTGGACGTGAAGCAAAGATTAGAGACCGGCCAGTTAGATCTGTCCTGGCAGTGACTTCCTACCAAGTTTTGTAAATGTTTTGACTGGGCTAAAATACTAACTCTGTAGCCAGCCTATTTCTACAATTCTCATTTTAATAAATACTATGGAGTTTCTGCTACAAAATAAAATGGGCATATTTTTTTTTCTCCAAAGACAGCTGCCACACATGAAAAGAAACAAAAAAATGATTTTACTTCCTTCCTACTCAGAAGCCTGGTGGCAGAGTTGCTTTGCACATTTTTTTCTAGCAAGAGTTTGCAGCTGTTTCTGCCCTTCCTATTGTGCTTGTGTTCAACTCCGGCTGGGAACACCAGCTTCATCTCCAGCTGTTGGGTGCAAAGTGAATCAGGTATTTCACAGTGGTTATTTGATTAGAAAGAATTTATATTGTTGAGTTAACAATAGTTTGTGTATGGCAGTGAAGACAGTTTCTACTTGTCTGAAATATTTAAACATGCTTAACTTATACAGGTGCAGCCATGGCTAAATATATTGATGGGCACAAATATGTGAGTCTCTGTATCTGTAGAGCTGTGTCAGTACAAATTTCAACAACAGTTTTTACTCGCATGTCACTTTCTTAGGGTGCTTTGAAATAAAATAATAATGATAAATGAAATGTTTGAGGTAGAGTAAGTAAAACATGAGAATGTGCCTTCTTACAGGTTGGGGAGAGAAAGTGCAGAAAAGAACATGACAGGAACCTTGGCACAATATCCGTGACTACGTGGGAGAGGGGAAAAAGGATTCTCATGAAGATCATAGGACTAATCACAGGGACTGCCCATGTCTCCCCTTCTGAGCTCCTCGTCTAATCTATATCCAAAACAATGCTCGCTTGATTTTTTTTACAGCACTTGTATAAGACCTTTAATCTTTAAATGCAAAGCATCGCTATTAAAATATTTGTGCATGACTGTCAGGCCAGGCAGACTGAGTAAATCAAGGATGGGTTGGCGTGGGGAGGCCCTTTCAAGATTTTTTCCAGTGCAGCTCCACAAGCATTCACTAGGCAACTTGCACTACGCCTGCTAACATGACCCCTGCCTAGAGCCTGTGACAACTGCCATCAGGCTCTTTGGCACCATCCTGGCTCTTCTTCCATCCTCCTTTTCCCTTCTCCCCAATTTTGTTACCTCTGTTGCTGTTACCACTCATTAAATGTTTTTTTCCCTGGTCATAACTGGACTGATTTGTCTTAAATAAGAAATTTAAAGAGGCAAGGATCATCTAAAAAAAAAAAGTCCTTGCTCATGCTCATTATTTATGACCATTACTTAAAGGGTTATGCCAGTAATTGGTGAATTTGAGAATAACTACTCACATCCAGTGAGAAGAACCAATTCATCTGTTGATCTGACTTCAGATTCTTTCAGCTCTTTCAGTTGTCAGTGCTTTCACTGAAAGCCAATGAAATACAACCCATTTGGACTTATTTTAAATATGTAGACACAGATCAGCAACTCATCGATACCATGAGCATTATGCAGTGACAGAATCAAATGAAACTTAAATTCAAATGCTATCTCTTATTTAGGAATTATTAATTCTTTTATAAAGTGCTCAGATAAAAGTATCTGCCTTTTAAAAAATGTTATTTACCTTAGGTGACTTATTTATTTCCCTAAAGGATATTAGTGTTAGTCTGTTTCTTTAAAGGAAAATATACCCATAAAATTTTCTTCTAAAAAAACAAACTTGCTAGCCAGATGTGGTGGCTCATATCTGACATCCCAGCACTCTGGAAGACTAAGGCAGGAGATTGGAAGTTTGAACCCAGCATGGGCAACTTAACCATTTAGCAAGACCTTATCTCAAAATTTAAAAATTTTTAAAAGTGTGAATGCCTTAGGTTGAGTACAGAAAAATATTTTTATAAAACCTAGTATGTCCATAACTAAATATTAAGCCCAGTTATTTAGTCTCCAAAAATGAATTAATGCATGCTATTGAACAACATGTATTTTATATACTCTCATATTCATAGAAATTTGAGACATCATAAATATTTGAAACCATGGGAAAATGCAGAGCTCTTGTTTGTTTTGGTTTGGGGCAGCGGGAGGAACTGGAATTTCTTGCATGGATGCTTTTTGGAAAGAACAGAGAAATATTGTAAGACACAAGGTATGTGTACCCGTAGTTTTGGAACTTGTATCACTTTTAAATTTCACAAATGTATATTCTGTGTGTGGAGTACTAAATCCTACAGCAATAGATTTGGAAAGACTGATTTGAAAAGTATTAGTTAATTTAAATTTTTTACACATTTCCTAGCTTGTTCAGTTTTTACATGTTTGATTTTTGTATAAGGTCTTAATTTGGTATTAATTTGTTTTGACTCGCTTTTGCCTCATTTCAAAAACTGGAACACATATACATCAGTTTGTGAAAGAGGAAAATCCCTTTCCTTTTGGATATACCTGGCCTTTGCTGTGGCAGTCTGATATAGAAGTGTTCATTCCCAAAAAGAATGAAAGGAAGAGCAAAGGAAAGCTTCACCGAGTTCAACGTTTGCCACCTAACAATTTATCTTATGACTTTTTAGTTCTGAACTAACAATATCAATTGTAAAACTGAATGTTTACCTCAATTGCAACAAGTTACTTTTCTTACTGTGATTTTTTGGTGTGTAAATGTACAACAATTTCCATCACATACTGAAGAAGGTGGTAGGCCTCAAGCAGGCAGGCCATACCCTGAAAATGTACGTTAAACTATTGAAGACTGTCTAAATTTTGAAAGATTTGAAAACCCCATGCTTTCATCAAAGATTAAGTGAGCTTCTAACTTTGATATGTTCATACATTAAGCAATAGCTATGTCAAACAGTTTGCTTGTTTTTATACTGAGATTCCTGGTGAGAATCCACTTTTCTCCTCCACTTTCATTTCTCTTCCACTCCAGCCATGAGGCCAGATTCCTCAGAACACGTACCGAGGTACTGAGCAGGAGGTGCCCAAAGTCCTCAGACTCAGGCAGGAGACTGTGAACCTCAAAAGTAAACCTTCCTGTTACTTAATTTAAGAAAACATTTGGCAGAGAAGTATAAATCAAAACCACAGTTAAGTAGCACTTCACACCCACTAGAAGGCTAGAGTCAAAATAGAAAATTGCAAGTGTTGGTTGAGGATAGAGAATTGGAACCTTCAGACACTTCTGGCAAAATAGTAGAATAGTGCAGTCTGTGTGGGAACTAGTTTGGCAATGCCTTAAAGGTCAAATATAGAGTTAATGCACAACAGTTCTGCTCCTAGATATATGTATCTAAGAGAAATGAAAATATGTGTTCACACAAAAAGTCATACAGTAGGGGCTGAGGGTCTTAGCGTGGCAAGTTACAAGGTCATGAGTTTGATCCCCAGTACCAAAAAAAAAAAGTCATACATTAATGTTCCTTACTGCATTATTTACAACAACCAAAAAGTGGAAATAACCCAGATGTCTGTCTACCAAGTGATGAAGCGATAAATCAAATGTGGTGTATCCATCAAATTGAATATTATTTGGCAATAAAAAGGGGTATGGAGTATTAAGCTAAGTGAAAGATGCCGAACACAAAAGACCACACATTGTGGGATTCCATTTATGTGAAATATCTAGAACCAAAAAATCTATATAAATAGAAAATTGCTTAGAGTTGTGCAGGGCAAGAGGGTCAGGGGAGATTGAGGAGTGCTGGCTAAGGAATATGTGTGATCGCTTTTAGAGGTAATGAAAGTATTTCAAAGTTGTTTGCAGTGACGTTTGCACAAATCCGTGACTGTACTAAGAAACAATGAAGTGTCCACTACATACAAAACAAGTGTGTTATACTAAATTGTGTGAGCCATTCTTAAGAAAATTCTAAAGCATTTTTAATTCTCTGTATGGTAACATATATGTGCACACAAAATTATTTTGTTAATGTTTGCAAATACAGGAGCCTTGCCACAACAATTTTATGTATCTGTACAACATATTTCTAACCCTCCCAGATAACTTACCATAACAATCAAGAAATTTCAGATTCTTTCCCTCCCCCTCAAAATGTAATAGCCTTGTATTTTCAAGACCATTACAGAAAAATATCCTGCAGTTTGAATGTTAGCAATTAGTCTTGGACACAGTAGAAACTTTTAAAAAAGAGAATTGCCAGTCTTCAATTTCATACTAATTGTTCTAAAATTGCCAAGTGATTTCTCGTAATAATTAAATTTACGTGCCACATTCTTGTCTGTCCCTAAAAATAACTCCGTAACACCAACAAGCAACTTGTAACTCTCACAAGCTTTGCTTCAACGTATTTTGAGAGCCACAGTGGTTACTAGACTATTTTGAATTCTGACAATAAGAGAAAGTGAGCAATCAATGATAGAAAAGCATTGTTGGCTTGAGGAATTGCAGGCATAGATGTATCTGAAAAGAAAAGGCTAATGATCAGTTGAAAAGAAATTTGCATCTGTGGAACAACCACCGCTCAACATTTCTGAGGTTCATCTTAGCTTCCACAGAGCCTTCCCACCTTCCCTTGTTCATTCCATTTTCCACCCTGACCAGTGCTTGTCCTAGGCCATGATGAAGAGGAGAGCTTTGCTAGCTGAGCTGGTAACATTTCCTCCTCCATGTCGTGGAAAACTATTTAAATGTGAAAGCTTTCCCCTTAAGCACATAACTTGTGTGGACAGGTTTACAAACTGGCAAGGAACAAATATCAAGAAAGCTCTTGTCATGCCTTGATTCACCAGGGCTCTTGGGAAACCAAATGGAAAGGCTTTTTTCTTTTTAAATTAGTATTTACTCTGGTGCTCCGAGAGTCTAGCAGTTGAGTGTGTAATGAGAGGTCAAGCACACAGATTCTGGCATTAGATAAAGCTCCTTGGAAACCTGACTCTTGTACTTCCTCGCTAAAATTCTCTTATATTTCCCTTAATGCAAATAATAGTGCATACTTTATGGGATGATTGTGAGAGTCAGTGAAATCTCTATTGAAAGCACTTAGCATAGGACCTGCCTCCACTACCTATGATGAAAGTGCCATGTGTACAGGGCTCTCCAGACAAAGTCTTGATGGGAGAAAAACAAATCAATCAATCTAAGTTTAAAGGTACAAAGAGCCTCTTTATGGAAAAAAAGAGAATGGTTAATTTTTTCTGAAAATGAGTATCTGAATGGGCTTCAGGTATTTGATAAACCCAAATATGATGACCCATTAATTAAAAAGAGATTGTTTAATACAGAGATGGAAAATGATCTTGAAGAAAACAAGAAGATAGGGCCAAGAATGTTAAATATTATATTGCCATATTGCTCAACAATTCCACTTCTAATACAGGATAGGACAATGATTAAAAAAAATACAGCACATCATTTCAAAGCGCTCTTTGAGGTGATTGGTACATAGCAGTTCTGTATAGTGTGGGAAAAAACCAGGGAGGCAAACACAAAATGCAGATATCTGTAGGAAGTTTCATAGTGATAAATAGTCTTCAGTGAAGTAAAAAGTACAGAATGAAATGGAGTATAGAGTCAGGGCGTTATGACAAGCTGGCACTGCTATTGTCAGTTATGACTTGTGCGTGAGAAAAACATTGTTTTTTCACCTTTCCAGTCTGCAGTAATTGGTAGAGGTCAAGTAGATATGCATTGGGGGAATAAAAAGGAGGAGAAAAAATGAGAGATAGTGAGCACCAGTTTGCAAATTCAGATAACTAAAATCTAGATAATTTGGAGGAAAAGGTTTGGTAAGTCTAACGTCTGACATTCTGTTTGTAACCAGCACTCAGAGGAAGGTGAAAATGGTAATTGAACTCTTTTACACTTTGCCAGCAAAAGGGACAAATATCTATTAGGGCTTAAATTCAGGAAATAACAGTAGTTTTTATCTTGACCAAGTGACCTTTGAGCTATCATCTATTTCTGAGCAAATATAGCCACCCTGCTTAATGGAGATGTTTTGTCAGTGCTGAGTGTTTAGGGTAGAACCAATATTAGAACAAAACTATCTGATATTTAACTTTCATGGCTCTATGTCAACTTTGGTTAGATGATCTGTCAACAGGCCGCTCTCTGGGAATGTACCAGGTACTTTGGAAATCTTCCTGAATTGTTTGCAGCTACTTGGCTCCTTCACTGAGCTGAAGAACAAAAAGCCTCTTGCTAGTCCCCAGAACATTTCTATGTTGTATGTATTTGTTAGAGTACAAAGCAGATACTCTTCTGATTTTTATTTCAACTTTATGATTAAGAAAGCTTTGGGAGAGTTGTTGTTTTTTATCCCACAGTTGCCTATATTTGCCCCTCAAGGTCACGCTCATGGCAAGCCAATGGACTGTCAGTGCAGTGTAAAAGCTTATTAGAGATGTCAGGCAGATTCACAGAGCAGATTTCAAGCACAGAGCTGTGCTCAACCTCCTACACCCTCATGTATATGCAAACTGCTGGCCTACTCAACAACAACAGTTGCTCTGAGAACTCCTAAACCCTCCTAAAATCTGTGTTCATCTAATCACCCTGATCTTATCTCAGTTGTTGATCCACAGTCTCTGAATTTTATTATCATTGGGTTGTAAGAACAAAGCAGGTATTATGTAGGTGGGAAACATCCCAAATTTGAAATTCCTGAAAGCAAGAATAACATCAGTCATCATTTCCCAGGCATTGTTAAACCATCAGGCTTTGTTTTAAAACTGGAACAAGAAGTAGCTGTAATGAAAGTAAAAGCATATCATGACACAGCAGTAAATAAAAAATATGATACATCAATGTGATGTAACCAAGGGTCTATTTTGACCTCAAAAGATCTATAAATATGGCTTAAGAATGAAGAAGTTGGAACTGGCTCCGGGTTTCCAGATTCCCAATCCACCACTCTTACTATTAAGTCAAGGGAAACTGCCTCACAGGGAGGATCCGAAGGATAGATAAAAATAGTCCAGAATCCTTGTAGCACATATATGATTGTCTTCTTTCTGGGGAGAGGTTTGGCTCCTCCAGTTCCCTGTACAGTTGTGAGGATTTGTCTGGATGTGCTAGCTGATTGATTGGAAGATTTCTTTCCCTAGAAACCATTAGAAGATCATAACAAAACTCTGTCTTGGGGCTTCAAATAAATGGCTTCAAGGAAGGAGATTAGAAGATGTTGTATTGATTTACAAGAGGATGAACCATTAGGTCTGTGGTTCAAAGAGCAGCCAACTCTTCTAATCTGTTATTTCCATTATCATCCACATCATCTGCTTATATTTAAACACAGTTTGTTGGAATGGGGTATGTCCTTTTTTATTTCTCAGGTTGTGGTTTCTCGAACAGTATCATCTACCCCTCATGTGAATTTTCGCCTGGATTCCCAGCCTGTGTCTCCAGAAGTCATCGTGGAGCAACCGTTAAACCAAAATGGCTACACTCTGGTTATCACTGGGAAAAAGGTAAGCCTTGTTCTGACAGGGCTTTTCCATAGTTATGAGTGGATAGCTGCAGCCAGTATCATTTGGGTTTTTTTGTTTTTATAACTTCTCTCTTTGTCTTACATTCGCATCTCCTCCATTAAGTTTTTTCTGAGTATTCCAAAGATGTTCCAAACTAAAGTTAACTTTTTATTCATGCATGATTAGGCTTACAGGATGTTTTCTTCATAATGTACACTTTTACTTTTGTCCTACATCTTTCAATGAGAGAAGCAAACACAGAGAATGAAAATTAGCATCTTATAGTAGAACTCTAGTTCAAACAGATAAATCCTGGAAATGTATGCTGGAATCTGACTCCAGCCAGTAATTCCTTTTCTGAGAAAAAAAGATGTGCATTTTGGTATCAGCCCTCACTTAAAATTTTCCAGGAATTCAAATGTGTTTTCCTGCAGCCTAGATTGTACTCTTTACTTCAAAATTACCTTGACAGACTGAGTGTTCCTACTCTGTGTAACCTCTCCCTTTGCATGACAGTGCTTGTAAAATTCCTGGGCGGTCATGTCAGCTTTTGTCACATAGAAACCAATAATAGAGGGAAGCAAGAAATCTGATTTTTTAATTTTAATCACGTAACCATTGTTATGTGATTTGCACATAGGTGCTCTCTAGTAGACGCCATAAGTTGATATTTATATGTAACTTTTGTGTATTCACATTTACTCAAACAAACCAAAAACCTGGAAACCCTTTGTGTCACTTTTCTCCACAGATCACAAAGATCCCACTGAATGGTTTGGGCTGTGGACATTTCCAGTCCTGTAGTCAGTGTCTCTCTGCTCCATCTTTTGTGCAGTGTGGCTGGTGCCACAATCAATGTGTGAGATCAGATGAGTGCACCAATGGGATATGGACACAAGAGATCTGTCTGCCTGCAATCTACAAGGTAGGTTATCATGCATGATTTTTGTTAAATACAAATCTCACTGTTGAAAAAACAGTCTAAAGTTTATTTACTCATTTAGCTGTGAGACGTCAGCTTGTCCCTGCGTGGCCTTAGGGCACCTCTGAGTCCTGCAGCTGAAGGACTTGTTTCCTGTTCACTAGATACTCTCCTTTGGCAGCTGCTTTTCCTTAGTTCCTTGTGCATGGCTCATGAGTGATACTGCTCCCCATTTGTTCATACTGGAGCTTGATTCCCTCCTGACTCACCCATTCTCTGACTCCTCATCACCTGCTTCATGCCAGCTGCCCAGACAGAAGTCTCCACCACTGACAGACTTTTTCGTTGCATAACCAGAACCTCAAAGGTGAACCATGCAAGCCCACAATTCCAGCCATGCAAGGGCAGACAGGACAAAAGGATTTTTTTCTGTATGAGGCACAGAAGAAACTGTGCCATCACATGTAGATTGGAGATTGTGTCCCAGAATATATGGGAGGCAACTTGAAGGTTAAAGCCTATGGGTCACTATGAGTATCGACTTGGTGTAGCTGAAAGAGAAGTAAAGGTGGGACTGATGACTGCACTGGCGTCTACAGTGCTGTAAGATCTTTCATCCTTTAGTTCACTGCAAAAACACTTATTGAGAGCATACCACATGGCAGGCCTTTTAAATACTGGGGTATATAGTCAAAAAAAGATAAATGTGCCTCCTGCTGTTAAACAACTTGACTTCTGGAAGTGGACATTCCCGTAATATTGCATCCACACTCTCTAATCTGTTACCTTATTTGCTTAAGCATATTCTTAGTACTATGAAAATTTCCTTGGCAATTATTTCTTGGTCCAAATACTATACATTTTGCTTGAAATTACTTCTCTGATAAGGACCCAGTATGTATTTTCTCTGCATGCATTTAGAACAGTTGGACTTTAGTAAATGATTCTTGTGAAAGATTCAAGTTAAAGGTCTGGGTCACCTGGTTCACACTCAAGTAAACAAAGTGTACACGTCAAAACAAGAACCCAGTCTAAGCACAGGTCTGTTTTCATTTAGCTATGGTTTCAGATGAGATTTGTAGTGGGTGACTGGATTTTAGACCAAATCATTTTCTGTTTGATGTAACAACTATCAAGCTTTGGCTTGATCAACCAGAAAATAAACTGAAGAAATAAAACAAACTTCGAATCTATTCTGTAGTATTTATGCACATTTTTATCATCCAGTATACTTTTAAAACCTTCATGTAATTTTATACTTTTATAAACACACAGAATTGGCAATTTAAGACACTAGAAATTTGAACTCTTCATGTTCCATGAAAGAGATACGGAGTGTGTGTGTGTCTATGTACTTACACACACAATTAAATCAACTTTTATTCCAAAATAGCCTGTAAAGAAAGCAGGTTAATAACCAGTACAGAAATATTTAAATTACTGTTTTCTTTTACTAATCATGAAAGTCATATTAAAATGGTCAGAAACCGAGTAATATTTTAGAACTTTCTGGAAGCAGAGAGACACGTATTTGAGTCTACCTCATCTCTCACATCCTCTGGCTCCAGCACTCTACAGTTGGCAGTTTTAAAAGGTTGCATTGTATCATGCACTAGTCTTCCAGGCGTGGGCTGTACAGTTAGGGGGAAAGTAGTGCAGCTGAGTTCATAAATCCCTCTTGGTTCATAGTTGTTAGGAAGATTTCATGCTGTGCTAGACCGTGACATTTAGCATTCTTACTGTGAAGAATAAGACAGATTATTCATCTTTTTCTTATCTGTCTTAAACTTTACATGCACAAAATCTAGAGATATATAGAGTTTCATTTGCCGATACATGCGCGTTAACCTGCTTTTCAAGGTACATCATGTTCAGTAAGATTCTTTGCAACTCTAGATAGGAGAGATAGCAGGAATGCAAGCCCATTATTTTGTTTCACATATGTCAACTGATCTTGTACTTACAGGGCAATGAAAAATGCTTTAGAAAAGGAAGAGTACTTTCCTAATTAATATATTGTGAATTTATCAGGATAACGTTGTCATCATATAGGGTTGAAGTCAATCCCAGTAAGACAATAAACTATTTATTAATTAATCAGAAGACTCAGATAAGAAGCAGCAGCAATGTCTTGTAGGAGTAGGAGGGCTACAGGCAATATATTGCCAGGGTATATTTTGTGACATTTTTTTTCCTGCCAGAGCAGAAAGAGCCTTCCGTTGCAAATGTTTCTGTTCAGGGATGTTTTTTCTTTTAGCTTTTTCATGTTTTATCTTAAGTGTTTAAAAAACATGATCCTTTTAAAATATCAGTGGAATGAGCCCATCATAAACCCAGTCTTTCACCTGTTAGAGCTGATGTGTGGTTGTATCTCCCCTGTCCAGACAGGTGGGAGACGCAGCCTCTATGGCTTCCTGCTGGACACACTTTCTACCCACAAGTGCACTCCAGTATAATGGAGTTTGCCTTTCCAGTGCTGGGAAGATGGTGTGATCCATGGCCCCTTCTTTCTTTTTCCCTTGAAAAAAGAGTGGAGGTTACCTCTTAAACCAAGGGAAAAATATTCAGTGCAGAAAGAAAACCTTTTGAAGCTTGCACCTAGTGAAAGTTTTCTAATACTCATTTCTATTGCCAGCACGCCACTTCAGCAACTCTGTGTCTCCTCTCAAATCAACACTCAATCCCTTTGCTTTTTGCGGCTAGTGATGATGTATGTTGAGTGGCAGACTTCATTTTTTTTTTCCACATAGTAAAGGGAATGGAGGCAGCTGGAACGGACCCAAATCAGCATTGGGCAGCTGTTTTCAACAGGGAAGGCTCCTCATTAGAAGAGGGAATAGCAGCTGTGTGGCGGCCTCAGGCTGAGGAGAGACCTGGGAGGGTGGGATGTCTTGTTCTCTCTTGTTGGATTTCTAACATAATAATAAACAGATTTTTTTTTAGCAGTTCTCATTTGGCTAGACGTAGAGAGGTAAATTTTCATGAAAGGCATAACTGTGTAATGGATTTTTATGGGTAAAATGGCTATCATAAAAGCATTAAGCTAAGACTTTAAACGGGTTTGGTAACAAGGGTAAATTAAGACTTTGGTTTGGAACTATTTACCTTGGAAGGATGAGAATATTTGCAAATTTGAATTTTGCTATAAGTCTTCTTAATTGTAAGACTTGCACAAAATGGGCTTTAGCAAATACCTTTGCTGGTTTTTAAGTTGCCTCTATCTTGGTGCTGTTTTCCCACCATTGTACTTTATAGCACAATTTACAATATACCCCCCCAAAAGAGCATTTCCTTTCTCAATTGTCACAGAGCTACCCAGGAGAAACTTATTTTTAACTTGGAAATGCCTTTTGTTTAACTAGTTTTAACCTAATAACAGTTATCTTGCAGACTTTATAAATGTCTAATGCTACTTTATACCATGATTGCCAAAGTTTTATTAAGAATTCCAAATTTTACCTTTAATACACCAAAGGTGATCTTGCAATACAATGAACCTATTATGTATTAAACATTGAACAAAGGGTGAAAAAATCTTAAAAGTGAGATGTAAAATAATACCAATGGAGATATTTAGAAAGACGGCTACAATACTGTTTTTAGATGTCCTCCAGCTCTGTTTTTTTATATCTCATAGAAATAACATATTAAGATGTATTAAATGTATTAAAATGTTATGCAGTATTTGATTTTACATCATATACATGTTATACATCAAACAATGACTATGCAAAGAACAAGGAAAATCTTGTCAGTAATAAATGTGAACTAATAAGCATAAAGAAGTAGATTAACTTACAGGAATAAAAAAGTAGATTTGCTTATTTTTTGGTATTTGACACATAGAAGGTGCTTTTTACATGATGAATGAATGAATGATTGCCAGGGATGTAACGAATACCATCTGTGTGTTGGTATTACGATAGCTGCTGAGTACAGTCGTATAACACAAAGTATTAAAAGATGGACCTTTACCATGTGAATTTCTTCTGTGGATATAGAATGACAGTAGCAAAAAGAATGAGGTGCACACAAAGCTCATGCACCAAGCAAGGTGTAATGATGATGTTGGCTGACAGGGCCGGTGGAAGTTTATCTGGAGGCCCGTGAAGGTGGTATAATCAATTACAAGCAAGTAAGAGTCTGGACCCAAAGTGTCTACTGCTGCCCAAAATGAGTCCACTTCAGACTGGCCCAACAAGCCCCTATTTCCTATTCCGGCTGACTCTACTCTTGTTCCTATTTCTGGATCCGAAAACAGCTTGTTCTATCATATGTCAGATAGTTTCAGTGTTTATTCCAGATGCTGTGCAATTTGTGACCCTTTTCCTTTAGTGAAAATTGAATTTTTACTGTATCATGAGAGAATTTCAAACCACTTTAAAAAGGATATGTAGTTTGTTTTTGCTTGCTTTATCCACGTATTTAAAAAAATAACATATTGGATTTTTTTTAAGTTCTGTATTGTCCTTGTAGATTTTCCCTACTAGTGCACCCATTGAAGGAGGGACAACGTTGACCATATGTGGCTGGGACTTTGGATTCAGGAAGAATAACAAATTTGATTTAAAGAAAACCAAAGTTTTTCTTGGAAATGAGAGCTGCACCTTGACGTCAAGTGAGAGCACAACAAATATGTAAGGATTTTTGAAAGCTTTGCAGGGGTGTACTTGGAGACAGATTTTGGTTTTGAGTGAATGCTTAGTATGGTTTTTCTCAAAAAACTAATTTCTTGAATTAAAAGGGGTCTTTGGCCTGTGACATTCCTTGTATACTGGGTTCAAGCCAGTACATCCTGTTAGAAAAACAAGTGAAGATGCAAGAGACAGAGAACATCTTTGTTGGGGGACCAAGGGTCTTCACTGAAATGGAGTGAAGCCCCAAGCCGACTCAAGCCCCAGATTTATTGAGGAACGACAAAGGCAGTAGAGCCGTGCCTAGCACAGATATTTGTTTTGGGTAACAAGGCAGGGCAGCAAGAGAAGGTGAGAGTTTGGCCGAGTAATTATCTTTTATCTGATCATGCCCCTGTCTGCCCAAGCTAGCAAAAGGGCTAGTCTTCAAGACTTGTACATCCCAGGCAACTCAAGCAGACATCAACCCATTGGATGTCACAAGAAATTCCCCACTTGTGATTTGCTTTGTGCTTTTAATCCTGTTACAGGGGTTGGGGAAAGGTAAATGTTGGCATGGCCTACTGAAGGAAAAAAGAACCCAGCATTTAGGGATTTTTTTCAACCATTAATGTAACAACTCTTCAAAAGGTGTCTAGGTATATTTGAAAGAAACAGTCTTTTGTCTTCAACCAATAGGCTATTTCTATAGTCAGTAAACAGCTCAATACAGATCTCCTCTTGTAAATTCATCTGCTGAACCTTAAAAGTTTGGTAAAGCCACTCAACTACCTTTTTCAGACTATTTTTAAATGAATTTAAATTTACATTCAAATAATGCCTATCGGCAGTGTACTGAACGAAGTATAACTGGGAGGCGGCAGTAGCATTCCTATTTTACAAAGGAAATACGTGATATTCCAAGAATGGAATATGGTTTAGCAGAGGTGATTCAGACAAGAAGAGCCCAATGAACCTTTAAAGACAGATTTTCTGATCCATAGCCTGGGCTTATTCTACTGTATTCTACATGTGCCTTCCATACTGAATTCCACAGTGAGGATCCAGAAATCAATTACTATACAGTAATTTATAAGGATTATAAAAATCATCTATTCATTCTAATAAGACAAAAATAACAAGTAATGTCATATTTGTTAGCTCAATGGCAAAATAAATTCATTTTAGAAATTTTCTTGTAAGTTCTCCAACTCTTCTTAATTACTGCATTTATAAATTAGTGTCTGTATAAATGAAATAATTTATTGTCTTCTCTAAAAACTTAGTATAACAAGTTATACTTTTTCAAAATTTAAGATTATTGATTTAAAAATTATTCTATGCAAAGCCCATCACAATTTCATTATTCTTTTTTTATTTTAAAGAGAAAAAACACAGAAAAGAAAAACAAAAGAGACAAACAACTACAAGAACAACGAAAACCCCAAAACAATAACAATAGAGGCTTTCAAAACAAGATGATACAAATTTAACAATGGTTGTCGTATTGCATATTATCTTCAAAGGAGTTGCTTAAATTACCAAATATAGACATGAAAAAATGATCAAATCATAAGAGTATTAACTGTTCTTTTTCAAGAACTAATAGAATTATTAGTACAATCATCTTAGCTATCTTACATGCGTGTACACAAATTCACATTTTTTTTCCTTTTCCTTTCTTTTCTCCTTTGCCCTGTCCCAGTTATTTTTCCCCTTTGGGCAATTTCTTACCCTTTCACAATATCTATTGTAGATTTTGGATTTTATTTACTCTTTCAGTTTCTTACAGTAGAGAAACAATATGGTATTTGCACATGTGAGTCTGATTTATTTCATGTATGAGTATGGTCTCAAGTCTCATCCATTTATGTATAAAAGCCTTAATGTGATCCCTCTTTGTAGCTGAGTAGTACTCCATTGTATAAAAATACCATATCTTTTTTATCCATCCCTTGGGTGATGGCATTTGGGATGTTTCCAAGATTTGGCTATTATAAATTGTGCAGCTATAATCATGAGTGCTCATATAACACTGTAGTATGATGTTTTCAATTCTTCTGAAAAATACCCAGAAGTAGGGTATCTGGGTTGAATGGGACCTCTATTCCTAGCTTTTTGAGGAAACTCTACAGTGATTTCCACAGTTATTGCAACATTTTACACTCCCACCAACAGTGAAGAAGTTTCCTTTTCCCCCACAGCCCCTCCAGCATTTGTCATTGGTTGATTTTTGATCCTGGCCATTCTTTCTGGAGTGTGATAGAATCTCAGCATTGTTTTAATTTGTATTTCTCTAATGACCAGAGCTGAACATTTTTCATATATTTATTTGCCATTTGTATTTCTTCACCTGACAATTTCATTATCTTTTAATTTCATTATTCTTTAAGCAATTTAAATGTGTAACAAGTAGAAAAATAGAAATGAACTTGTTGATATATTTTGATAAGGGAAATTTGGCCATTCTTACTGGTTATTAAGATATTATTACTTTATTTTAAATACACCAAATCTTATTTGTACAATTTTATAGACTTAGATTATTATGCACTTTTTTTAACCATGTACTTTTTAATTGGTGAAGTCTGCATTGATGAAGTCTTTTTCCTATGTTTTCTGTATATATGCTATACTACAGCCAGTATAAGGATTAGCATAATAGTGCAGAAGTAGAATTATATAATTTTCAGCCTTAATTCTTACCACAAAACTGTTTGCTATTCAGAACAGCTCACAATCTGAAGTTAACATCCCCTCATTAAAAAAAAAAAAAAACACGCCAGAGAATACATATGGTTTTGTAATCTATGAAACTGCTTTTTTCCAGGTTGAAATGCACAGTTGGTCCTTCAGTGAATGAGCATTTCAATATGTCCATACTTGTTTCAAACAATCGTGGAACAGCACATAGCACCTTTTCCTATGTAGTAAGTCTAAGCCTTCCTTTTTCTCATGAACTAAGATATTTAGTTTTTATTTAAATTTTTTAGTTATACAGTTAACAAGTTATGTTGTTTTATTTTTTTCTCCTATTCAGGATCCTGTAATAACAAGTATTTCTCCAAATTATGGTCCTAAGGCTGGTGGCACTTTACTTACTTTAACTGGAAAATACCTGAATAGTGGAAATTCTAGACACATTTCAATTGGTGGAAAAACATGCACTTTAAAAAGGTGTTGTAAATTGATTTTTTATTGTATCTGCCAAGTTGTATTAATACTTACACATAAGAAATCAAGCCAAGTTTGTTCTTTCTAAAGTGAAAAAAATCAAGATGTTTATTTATTGTTTACTATTCTGCTGCTAAGACTCACAAATCCAACCATCTCCTTCTGCTGAATTTGCTACCTTTTCTTTTTTATTTATTAATCTCACTTTTAAGTTTTGTTTTTCCATTTACCTGCATTATTTCTCAATATCCCCTTAAAATGATGAACTTGAGTTTCTGGTAATTGACAATAAGTTAAAATGAACATTTCCATCAAGATTTAAAATTAGAAGTCACATGGGGGGGGCAGAAAGAGAGATTAGACTTGGAAGGAGGTTATGTTTCTGCTTCTTTGAGTTGAAACAGATCAGTTTACTCAAGGACCAACAGTACTTTAAAGATTGCTTAAAGTGCCAGATGTTTTGAAGTTAGGGATGGCCTTTCAACAACATAGTTCGGGATCAAGTCAAATGTAAACAGCCTACACTAGAAAGGGTTTTTTTCTCGGCCACCTCAGGAAATTCTCAGTTAGGCACCATTGAGTTATATCCTTTGATTTATGGGCATAATTCTAAATGATGAGTACCTTGAAAAGCTAAGATCCATTTTTTTATTTTTTGTTCAGTGTATCAAGTAGTATTCTTGAATGTTACACACCAGCCCAGACCATTTCAGCTGAGTTTCCTATTAAGCTGAAAATTGACTTAGCCAACCGAGAGACTGGCAGCTTCCATTACCAGGATGACCCCATTGTCTATGAAATTCACCCGACCAAGTCTTTTATTAGGTAAGTAAGAGTTTCTGATAAGTATACAAAATAGTGGACATAAGGATGAATTGACTGTAGAATAGCAAGAAATGCATTTTTATTCCTGACTTGGGTGCTGTTGCATTGCTTTTGAAGACTTTCTTCCCAGTTCAGTGGAAAAAGTCACATTCAGATTCTGGATACAGTCTGTCCTTATTACTGATAAATCATGCCAACAAGCATTTCAAATTAAATTATATTTTAAATGGCTTGCAGTAAAGTAGTTCCTTGTGGCACTATAACATACATGCACTTGTGTTTATGGACATGTTAATTCTATAGCAGCCACAATACCCCAAAGTAGAAACACCTTTTTTCTCCCATTCTTCAGTGTTTTTGTTCAGCCTACTTTCCGTGTAACTTTTTCCTATCCCCAACTCCCTCTGAATCAGTATCTCACTGGAGCCAATTCAGTCTACCCTGTTTCCATTAGTTCTATTAGCCTAGCAACAATAGTTAACGTATATTATTTTCTTTATTTTAGGCCAAAGAAATATTTCTGTTATATATTTAGTGAGTAAAATTTTCTTTAGCTTATAGAATACAAATGTTTAAAAATATTTCCAAGTTAAATGCATTGTTTCCATTGAAGAATTGCCCCTCATCTTCCGTTGGACTTTGACGGTGCTTCATATAATCATTGCATGTGTGTCAAAATTGAAACTCTCTCAAAATATTTGTTGGATCTCCTTCTGAAGGTGGTACCCATTGTTAATTCCCTAGTTTCTTGTTTTGAAGTCCTGTATCATTTTCATTGTTTTGTTGGGAGGGGTTTTATTCTGTTTTGTCTTGTTTGATTTTATTATATCCAATGTCAAAGCAACTATTTCAAAGCTAACAAGTGTGTTATGGTAACCATTTTGGATTTACTCTTACCTTGTTTTGAAGTCCTTTATTGCATTCATTGCTTTTTTTTATTAGTTCTGTTCTGTTTTGTTTGATTTTTACTATGTCTAAAGTTAGGGGCAGCTATTTTGAAGACAACAAAAGACATGGTAACCATTGTGGATTTCCTATTACCGGTTTTGAAGTTCTGTATTTCTTACATTGTTTTATTTTGCTTGGTTTTATTCTCTTTAAAATAAAAATTACCCCCCAAAAAATACTTGGTGGGAAGAACCTCTCAGTATTACTTTTTTTCTATTTTATTGTGCCAGTGGTGGGAGCACAATAACGGGTATTGGAAAAAACCTGAATTCAGTCAGCGTCCCAAGACTCGTAATAAATGTGCATGAAGCGGGAAAGAACTACACAGTGGTGAGTCCTTTGAGAGACAATTCTACTCAGAGCTCTGCATCTCTGTCTCTGCTACCTGGCTTTCAGGGCACATGGGACATTTTGATTTTGCCTTTGATATTTGCTATTTACCTTCTTTGCAGCAGAAGTCAAATCATATTTTAACTCAACAACAAAGATTGTGGAGCATCTTGGGCTGACATAAATGCAAGCATACAAAGTTTAGACACAGATTAAGATTACCAACTTTAAAGACAGCCTGTATGCATAGAAATCACAACATTCTCCCATGGATCTTTATGATTCCACATAGAATATGGAGTCTTGCATTCTAAGATAACTCTTATGTAAGGTTTAGGATTATCTAGGTTTTGGAGCAGCAGTCTTGTTTTTCTAGGCAGCAGCTAGTCAGTGTTTGCTTATGCTCCTCCCTATTTTTTTACCAGTCTTGTCCTTTGCTTAGCATATTATCAAGTACTAAGAAACATCACTAGACTATGACTCCTGGAGTGTGGTGGTTGTTTGTCATATCCTGATTCTATTTGCAAGGTCTTTTTGACTTTGACTGAATGCCTCCTTTAAAACAATTAATCCGTTTTATGCTCTAACAATTTCAACAGGTCACATTAAAATGGTAATTTTTGTCTAAGACTTAAGAAGTTGAAGTTACTTCCAAAGATTGCATACCTTTTGCTAATGTCTATTATAAGATGCTATATAATCTAGTTGGACTTGTTCACTCAACATAGAATGAAAGTTTTGAGTGCTCTAGCTCAAACATGGTCGTGATCAGGTAGGTGACTGATTGAATTACAGCACTTTCTTTGAGATTCCCCATCCAGTATTTCTTGAAGACTAAAGCCACGGTGTTCTTTAATTACAAAAACCAATCTGAGGCTAAAAATGTCAAACTAAATCACCAAACAATAAGGTCATCTCAAATGAGATTTTTCTTGACCTTCTCAATCAGCCACATTGCATCACCTCTAAAAAGTATTATTAGATTTTTATCATATTCCTAAGGGATTGTACTCCAGGGAGTTACCGCATGAACTAAAGGGCTTTGAAGCCAATCCCCACACATGGCCACAAACAAAGTTAAAATACCACTGCTATTAATTTAGGAGATGTCAGTTCTCCACAAGCAAGCACAGCAATTTTTCATTAGCCATATCAGAATAACAGTAGCTCCTTAGGTGTTGGCATGTGCCTTTTTAAAGTAGTAATCCAAGAAATTGTTAGATTATCTAATTAATATCAAGTCTACATTATTAAAATGGTGTCTACCTTTGCTTTCTTCTCCCTTGCCAAAATTAAGATGACAGAAAGAAAAACTCAGCTTCATTCATGTATTTATAATCAAATACTTTTTAAAAATGTTTCTAGGTGTCAGACATGAGAGATGCATGTTTCCAAAAAGAATCAAACAATGGCAGAAGATAAAAATCTCAATCTATTTACATACCTAGAAATGTAAACTTCTATTGTTTTTAGCCACAGACATGTTAGTACAATAGAAATACACAGGAGAGTTGGATGGGAATGAAAATTCAGTGGCTGTATTTGACTATTTACTACTTTACTGTTGTTTGTGGAAACTCATAAAAAGTATGTGTTCTATATTCCCTGACACTTTCAAAATTTGAGGATGACCATGAAAAATCGAACCCATTTGTTATTTAACAAATAAAAACACATGATCAGATCTGATTTAGACATATAAATTTAGCCTCAATAACTTTCATTTAGTAAACTTAAATATTTTTAATTAAAATTGAATTTTTAATTAAAAATAACAACAAAATGTGTATTAATTTGTTCATGTACATTTTAACCCAGATGCCCACAGCTTATTGTAGAGCTTCAAAGTTGGTATTTTATAAATAAGTATTGATAACAGATAGTAAAATTGTTTGTTTCCATTTTTCAAGAGGATTGGAATAGGGCTAAGGATATAGCTCCATGGTAGCACTTGTCATAAGATGCACAAGACTTGGAGTAGATCCCAAGCACTGAAAAAAAAATAGCTCTTAGCAGTATAATATTAACTTGGTATATAACTAAATAATAAATTTTGTTCACATTTTGCCTATCAGTTTTATCTGCTTACAACATGACACATTGAAATGTAGAATAATTTTTAAGTTACTTTTAAAAAAATATCAAACACCAAATTCTGTTGTGCTTTTTATGTATATCCTTTGGCTTTTTCTATTGTGGGCATAAGTAATTGTTTTATCTCCAACTAAACTTGTTAAAGAAAAGGAAATCTAAGGGATGTTGTTGCTTGTTTATCTTTTCCTTGGGGGAAAGCAGCCATTTAACCTTAAACTTATCACTTTGTGTTGCTAGTTTTAGCCTGAGTATAATCAAGAGGAAACCACATTTTCCAAAATTCCATAAATCAGAATTTCAAAGGAGAATATTTGAAATGAAAGATGAAAGGGCATGAAATAACAATAGCAGTATCTTTGTAGAATAGAGAAACAGGAAAAGATTTACAGGTATAGATGATATAATGAGCACAAGATAGATCACTGAAGTGAAGACAATGTGAGTACTGATGTTAATGACCCAGCACATATGGACCCTCTATTCTTCCTCTCAGAAATGTGTGGCCTGAGTCTAAGGAAATACATCTGAAAAGCTTTAATTTCTTCATCTCTAAATAGGATATTCATAGCATCTACCTGTAGGATTATCAGAAGACCAACTTTGTGAAGCATTTTGCACAGAACCTGATAAATTAAAATCTTAAAGCACGGGGCTGGGGATTTAGCTCAGCGGCATTAAGTGCCTGCCTTGCAAACAGGCAGTCGTGAGTTCGATCCCCGGTACCGATAAAAAGGAAAAAGACAAAAAAAAAAAAATCTTAAAGCACAATAATAAGATTCTCTGACTACATAGTTCATGACAGTGGTAACCGTATGGAGCTTGGCAGTATAGAAATCACTTTACTAGGCAGTATCCTGCATTATGGATAAAATTTTAATCTTAATTTCTAAATGAGGAAACTGAGTAAGAGCTTTGCCTCGGTTCTCAGAGCTTCAGTTAAAGCTAGGATCTGAACCAAGGACGTCTAAACCCCACAAAATGTAGCTCCAACTCAGCCATAACTGCTTCACAAACTCAGGAGGCAGTCCCTCCAGGTGACTCTTCTGCCTTAAGGAAAATAAAATAATAAAAGAGTACAGACAACCTGCAGATAGAGCAACAGAGCATGCTGTGGGCAAATGAAGCCCTGCAGTATTTTGAAGACTGGGTTGTTTGGAAAATGTTGCATCTCTCGTGTTTCCAGAAATGGTTTCTTCAACATTAGAAAGTGAAATGCAGAATTTTTTTTAACAATTCTGTGTTTTCAGTTGATTAAGATTGTAAACTATGGAAGTTGCTATGGGTGTTGTCAGGCTACATCCTGTTGACAGTGGATAATTGTCTTCCTATAGGCATGCCAACATCGCTCTAATTTAGAGATAATCTGCTGTACCACGCCTTCACTGCAACAGCTGAACCTGCAACTCCCCCTGAAGACCAAAGCCTTTTTCATGTTGGATGGGATTCTTTCCAAATACTTTGATCTCATTTATGTACATAATCCCATCTTCAAGCATTTTGAAAAGCCAGTGATGATCTCAATGGGCAATGCAAATGTGCTGGAAATTAAGGTAAGAATTGCTTAAAATGGTCTCTTAAATAATCATCATGAACTTTATTGAGCTCATAACTATTTGAATAGAATCAGTGTACATGCCATTTTCTCTTATGCCCCATCAGCAATATGTAAGGTCTAAAAAACAAATCTTTTTTGGTTTAAGAATAAAAGGTAAATTTAATTGTGGATTGGTTTTTAATGAAGCATTTGAAAGTACTTTTCTGTGTATATATTTAAAAGTAATAAATGCAGGATACAAATCTGTTAAATGACTTCCTGCAGTCCTTTATCCCGATGATGTTACACAGTTCCCATGAAGACTTCACCTAGATGTGCTCATTACAAGGTAAAAGATAAGGGCCATAAAAGCAATTGCATCAGTTGTAATTCTTTTACTTCTTTATCATATTTGGAGTTTTATATCTGTGTGTGGTCATTTCTAAACTGATTTATAAATGGAACTGGATTTCCAACACCATGGGAATATATTAGCCTCTAAATATAGTTTAATTGAAAGTAATTTGCATAATTACTTCTCTGATGAGACAAAATACATAATACCCAAAGTTAAGGCATGAAAAGTTATTTGGCTTCCAGTTTGTAGAGGTTTCTGTTCATAGTCAGCTGGCTTCAAGGCAGGGTAACTTGTGGCAGACAGGCATCTCAGAAAAGAAACAGCCAGAGTGGGCAAGAGGTAGCAAAGCAAGCAAAGGATCTTGTTTTTTGTTTTTTGGTTTTGGTACAATTCAGGAGCAACTCAAGACTGCCCAGTTGCAAGGCAGGGGCTTATGCCAATGAGCTAAATCCCCGCCCCCTAGCAAGGAATCTTAGCAGCTTCCTTCTGCCCCTTTTATATTCTGTGTCGGCTGTCAGGATTAGAGCAGTGCCAAACCAATCCGTGGACTGATTTAAATCACACACCCTGGCCCAGGCATCACACACTATAGATTCAGTCACATCTAAAAAAGCCCCACCTATTACAGTAATAGTTCATTGTTTTTCTAAGCAGCCTGTTGCAAATGGAGAGCCACAAGGCCAAGAGAGATTAAATAGTTTGACAAGTGGCAAAATAGTGACAGAACAGACTAGAACATAGCTCTCTTACGTAGCACGAGTAATGTTTACTTCAAAAGATAATAGAACATCAAAATTATCAAGATGTTAGTTATCCATAACCCATCCACTCAAAAGAGCAAAATATTTATCCTTCAACATGTTGTTTTAAACATTCAGAATTTTTTTCTTGAAAGGTCCTGTGAGTGCAAATACAAACACAAAGCAATAGGCTAGTCTTTATTTTGATGTAATAGAGGTTGTCACGGGCCATTTTCATCTAAGTAATATGTTTCTACTGAAATTTTCCTGCTTTATCAACAAGATACCATCCACAGCTCACCCCAGCATACATTCACACTCATACAAGTTTACTAACCTCACAGTTTCGTTTCGTGCAATAATTAAGCAAACCCAGCATGAAATTAAACGGAAGCCTGCTTCAGTGAGCAGCATGTTTACCACAGCAAGGTTCTTTCATCCACTTCTTTAATTAGTTTTAGAAAAGCAGAAAGGGCTTTTATCACTTTTTTTCAATAAAATTAATCTAGTGTGACCTTTGCTTTCAACAATTACTGTGTTTGCCATTTGAAAGATTCCATTGGTTTTTCTTGTTGAAAACAAAGATTTATGTGCAAATAGTTTTATGCCCATAGAAATTCCATTTTGTGTTCCTATATCTATGGTGGACACATTGGAGATAAATGATTCTTTTATATATCCTTCTACACAGGATACAGAAAAGTTCCTTTTTTATATAAATTAAATACCCATTATTCAACACGCTACAAAGTATTTGAACCAAGAAAAATGTGATTTGACATCATCCTCATCCTATTATTGTTATTCCATCATGGCCCAAGGAGTTTCTGGAGACATGCACAAAAACCTTCCTTTTCGTGATAGTACAAAGACTTTTTCTCTAACAAGTATATAGCACCTGACATAACACAGAGCAGTAATTTCTGGGGGAAGGGACAGTTTAGGGCACTTGTTTTAGGGTGATAGCATATGCCCATGCTCCACTTTCCTTAAGAATAAGAGGAAATCTAAGACACATGATAGTATTTTTGCGACATTTTTTTTTTTTTTAAAGTTCTAGGGATTGAACTCTAGTCCCACATGAACTACATCCCCAATCTTTTGAGACAGGGTCTTGGTAAATTGTCCAGCCTGTGCTCTAACTGGTAATTTTCTTGCCTCAGCTTCCCAGTGTGCAGAGGTTGTAGGTGGAAGTCACCACACTTTGGCTGTTGTGACAGAAATGTAATTCTCTATCATTTTCTAAAAGAGATCACATTGAAACCTCTGCCTCTCTTAAAGAAGAAACTAGGGAAAATAAAACATCAAAAGAGAAAAGAAAAGGCCTCTTCTGGATGAGCAGTAAAATATTTTTATTAAAAGTGTTTTGATCAAAGTGATACTTGTTCAGTTATCATTCAGACCATGAGAGTGAAGTACATTTGCCTCTCATTGAAAGAGCTGTTAAAACATCATGTGTTTAGAGTGAGCTTTATTGTCTACTCTGAATGCCACATCCAAAAAGATCCCTTAGCCAAGAAGGGATGGCAATACTCTCCAGCCCCAGTTGTGAGCATTAGCTAATGAACAGGAGGCTCAGTGACTACACCATGAGTGAAAGAGCCAGCCAAGTTTGGGGCAAGATCAGTCACTTCTCAGCATGAATCAGAAACCCTGCAGATGTAGGAGGTAGTTATGGTCATGGCTTCAAGTCCACCAGACCCAGCTGTAGACAGCGGGCCTCAGAGGTAGACATCTCTTTGGAAATACAAAGTAGGATGTGATGTTCCTATCAACAACTGCCAACAGTTATGAGGAATTTTACAGTTCATGGAGTACTTTGACATACATTATTTCACTCTTCTCTTACATGGACCTATGAGATTGGGAGGTCTGTAAAGATTATCTGCATTTATAGGCAGATTAACAAAAACATGCCTTGTGTCAGGGTTATCTAGGGAGCAAACAGAAGAACTAGGTCTTTCTTTAAGCTACTTGAGGCCAAATTCCACTAAAATTACAGTGCTTCTCATATTAACTTTCATTTAATATGTATTAAAATAGCTTCCATAATAGAAAAGCTTTTCCTATTAAGAAAAGCAATGGTATGCACATATTAATACAGTTCTTTAAGTGAAGTAGCACTAAGCTTTCTAAAATGATCAAAAATTTTATTTAGTTTAAAGAAATCTGATACTTTCTGTAATTATTATCTGACATTTGTGCATGAATATATTTTATAGAAAGTTCTGGCTGTCTGACACTTCTCTGAGAGTTCATCTTATTCTGGAGCATATAGGAATATTTGGAAATAGATATGCTTCAAAATTTAAGTCTGGAGAACTCAGTTCAACAAGAAAAGGAGGCAGGAAGATGAACTAAAACAGATCAGGAACTCAGGTGTGATACACACTAGAACAGATGTTGAAAACTCAGGTGAAGATCAGGCATCAATGACAGGCTTCAAAAAGATCTAAAAGGGAGCATCATCCTGAGCCAACCCAACCCACCTGCTGGCCAGAGGCAGCCAATAGTTATCTTTTCCCCTCCTCCAACCACTTTACCTGGATCCATAGACCCAATCCCGATCACGGCTACCACATAGCCAGTTCTCACTCCAGACAAGATGGAAGAGAAGGATTCTTTTCTCCAAAGTCATTTGACCTAGCATCAAGATTTATTCTCATTTAACAGATGCATACCTTACCCTCAAACATTATTTCCCTGTGCTGCAAACATTAGTGGGAATTCTGTAAAAAATTATATTCCAGGGCACATTGACAGCAATGGAAAGGTTCTTCCAAGTAAGTAAATGGTGAAGGCCTAGTAGCCAGTGAAGAAATCAGCTTAATTTGGTTTGCCCTGCTTTTCTCAAACATCCAGGGAATTTGCCCTCAGTTGCCTGTTGACATGTTGTGAAACTCAAATTTGAAGCTTTTGGTGACAGTTGTTTGGCCTGGCTTCTAACCTGAGGGACTCACATCCTTTTGGTGAAATACAAATGTCACCTCCACCAACAACTCGCTGATTCTCCACTGTTAACCTCCCTGCTCTGAACCTGCCTGATGGGTCCTGCTACTAATCTGCACCTACTGCTTTCACCCACTCTCTGCAGTTTGCCTTGCAGCCACCTGAGTATAAACACATGCAGATCCCTTTTATTACAATGCCATTTTTCAAACACTGTGCTTCCACTTACACCCCTTTCGTAGCCTGTGCAGCATCCCCAGGCCTGGATGCTGAGTAGAAACATTATATCATGTGTGGCCAGATTTAGAGAAGACACGAACCAGTACATCCTAACATGACATAGTAGGAATCACTAGTGTAGATTTTAGAAATGTGTCTTTTTTTTTTTTTTTTTTTTTGTCTTTTTTCCTTTTTATCGGTACCGGGGATCGAACTCACGATCGCCTGCTTGCAAGGCAGGTACTTATGCCGCTGAGCTAAATCCCCTGCCCCGAAATGTGCCCATTTTAACATTACAGAAAGAAGGGAGACTCTGGTTCATCTTTATCCTTGGTGACTAACCCTGATTACAACACACAGTAGGTGGTCAGTTCATTCTGCATCAAATAGAATTTGATTTGCTTCAGTGACCTAGTCTTTCTCATATCTCTGTGCTTCATATATAAAGCCGGAACAGTCAGGATACCTACCTGGAGAGGCTGATATCTTTGCAGAATAAAATGAGATAATTATAATTCTAATTTGTTCTGCATGTGTAAGGGCTTAAATATCAGAAATCTGCTTCTTCTTATGTTGCTTTATTTAAAAGTCTACAGAATTGAACTGATTTCATAAATATGTTCTATTTAATGATAGTTAATAATAATGATAAAAGTAACAAAAGTTCTGAAGGTATACATTTTTCTTAGCTTTATGTAGCTGTTTACTTTAAATGACTATACTGGCCTACAGGTAGAAATTAGCTCTCCTCATGTAGGCACTAAGATCACTTCTGTGACACCTACGCTTTTCAGCTTTTAAAACTATTAAATATACAAAGCTGAGAGTAATTTCTTATATGCAACACTGCTCATTATATATTTCTTGGTGGGAGAGTGTGAAAAGGGGTGCAGTTGTTCAACTGTATGATTTTCTTTTGTTTCCTTTTATGTAACATCCTAGAGAAAACCCTAAACGTAAAAAACGAGTATTGAAAATGTAAATGCAGTATGTACATCCCTTCCCCCAACTGTAGTTACTATCTTAGCAAGCAGGACATATTCAGTCCCTCCCTCATAAATCAAATCCTCCTACTCTTTAATCTCTTTTCTCTGTCATTCTCTGAATTCCCTCCAATATGTTGGTAAGATCCCTCATCCTCCTCAGATCTAACCAACAAGTTGTCATTTGAAGCCCCAAAGTGACCTATTAGATTTATGTGCTTCTATGTTGAATTGCCCTGTGTGGCTGGCCTGGATCGATGGATTGTGCAGACTGCTTCAGGAATAGAGAAATCTCATCAGGATACTGTTTTTTTGTGGTCATCTTTTCTCAAAGTCCTCATGCTATAAGAAGCATCTTCTTTCAGCTCCTTTTCCTATAATAATATCTGACCTTCAAATCTTTTGAGTTTCATTTGAGATATTATATGTGAAAGCAGTATTAAAGATTGTATAAAATAAAGGATCGGGCCTGTAGCTATTACTAGTCATTCTTTGTTCATAAAGAATATAATTACAGGTTTTGATAGATCTCTCCTCAAAGTAATGGCTTATTCAATAAATAACTATGCTTGTTAAGAGTAGATACGGGAAATTACACATTTATACTTTTTTCTCAAGGCTAATGATTTGTTTCTTCAACAAATGCTGATGTTTTTTTAAATTCCTGATAAAGTCAGTTAACTAAATATGTCAGATTGAGTAAATTTTTAAAATCTTGGGCTGAGGATTTAGCTCAGTGGCATAAGCGCCTGCCTTGCAAGTTGTGAGTTTGATAACAGGCACCAATTAAAAAAAATATATATATACATATATATATATGTATATATATATATAGTAAATTTTTAGAAAGGCCTAGAATGTAGCTCAGTGTGGAAGGTTCTGGGTTCATTCACCAGTACTAAAAAAAAAATCTTCTGTAACTATATAGTTATTTGATATATGGTAATATAATTATACATTCCATGTTGAAGAACATGGAATATCTTATGGGAATTTCTTTGAGACAAAGTTCTTTCAGGTATAGGACTTAAGTGTGCAAGAAGGATGAGAAAAACTGCTCAACTCAAACAGAAGAGGAGTATTTGGCATAGAGAAATTATATCAGATCTCTGGCAATCTGGGACCTAAGCATGAGTGTTTTTGAAGCTCTCAGTGTGATTCTAAAAGCAAATCCAAGTTCATTAGTCAGTGTAAGGCCGTGCAACAACTGAAAGTCTAAATTGCTTCCCTTTTGCCAAACACCAGTTCCCACTGAATGCAGTAGTAAGATGGTTATGACTAAGACATTATTCAATGTAAGGTAAAAAACAAGATTTTCTTTATTCTTCTCTAAAATTCAGTTTGACGAAAAAGCTCAGCCCTGTAAATCCTAATTAGTGTCCTAAAGTGCTCATGCTTCCCTTCAGCCATCCCAATTCCCATGAAAATGAGCACCATGAAATCATAGGCCTTGGCAAACAATAACATGGCCTGTGCGTGCAGTGTATTTATACTCCTCACAATCATGAGCATTCCTGCAAATCTGCGAAGTGTTAACAACCTCTTTTTTTTTTTTTTTTCCTTCTAGGGAAATGATATTGACCCTGAAGCAGTTAAAGGTGACGTGTTAAAAGTTGGAAATAAGAGCTGTGAGAGTGTAGAGCCACATGATGAAGCTGTTTTATGCACGGTCCCCAATGACCTGCTGAAACTGAACAGCGAGCTAAATATAGAGGTGGGATTCCTGCATTCCTCTCATGATGTAAATAAGGATGCCAGTGTAATTATGTCACTTGTAGGCTTAAAATAAATCATTAAAGCTCATTTATGTGTTGGCTGTGGCTCATCAACTCAACCTCAATTCCTAGTTGTTATTCTAGAAACAGGTTTTTTTTTGTTGTTTTTTTGGTTTTTTCCCCCACACTGGCTCCTGCCCCAGGCTTTGGAGGGTAGGTCTCAAAAGTCCTTTCTGCCCACACTGGCTCTCCATCATGTTGTATAGCCAAACTTTACTGTAATTCTCAGAAAATATAAGATCAGGTGTAAGAGTATCTTTTTCCCCATCTCTCACATCTCAGGAGCCCAGAGCCAGTGTACCACCACCCACTACATGACCACAAATGCATGGACCCCATGAATGAAAGATGTATGTGCTGGACAGAGTAAAGTGTGGATTAAAGAGTTCACAGTAACTTTTTCCATGGAGACAGCTCAGTCAGATAATGTAGAACCAGAATGATTTTTTTCATTATTTTTAATAGCTTTACTACAGTGTAACTCACCTGTCATACAGTTTGCCCATTTAAAGTACATTTCAGTGGGTTTGCTGTATTACGTCACTAACTTCTTTAAATTGTGTTAAAATATATACAATGTGAAATTTTTCATTTTAACCATTGTAAGTGTACAGTTCAGTAGCATGTATTGCCTTCAGTGTAATCATCCGCTGTCTAATCCCACTGTCCATTCATCACCCCAAACAGAAGCTCGGGACCCATTAAGCAGTCACTCCACAATCCCCACTCTCTCCATCAGCCCCCAGTAATCTATAAGCTACTTTCTATCTGTATGAATTTGCCTGTTCTAGATATTTCCTGTAGGTGGAGTCATGCCATAGTTGTCCTTGTATGTCTGATTCACTGAGCACACGTTTTCAAGGTTTATCCGTGTATGGACATGTGTTATTCCTGTGTTCCTTTTTGTGACTGGATAATACTTCATTATATGTGTCCCACAATTTGCTTATCTAAGAATAAATGGTATTCAAAGGATTCCTGAAATATTCTTAAAAGCTATAGAGAATAAAATTTGTGAAATTAAAACATGAAAAATATTAGAAAATCGAAGACTGAATCATGAGCTCAGAGATGGAATTTCAGAGTCATCATAAAGCCTAAAAGTCAAAAAATGCTAAAAGAGAGCAAGAAGAGGCCTCAAAGATGTCTTCTATATATCAAGACGAATAAAAATATTCTCAGGTTTTATTGTCCCATTATAACTACAATTATTTGTCTCTCACAGTGTCTTCTCTGCCATCCACTCCATTCTTTAATGAGACAGAATTGATTTCTTGCTATTTATGTATGCTGATATGCTGCATTTCATATTATGCTGTAATTATTTATGTGCATCTTACTTAATATACATCAGTTCTCAAGATCTTTTTTATCTCTAACACCTACTTACAAATACAAGCCAATAAATATTATAGAAGTATTTTGGGAATCAGTATTCTCTAAGTATTTGATCATGGAAGCAGAACTGAAGAATCCTTTATTTCTCTGAACACAGGGATGCCACTTTCATGATGATAACAGCCAGGTGGGATTTGACACCCAGAAAAATGGGATTCACCTTGGATAGAATATTTTATATCAATCATGATCAGACTAACCCTTCTTTATCACTTTTCAGTGGAAGCAAGAAGTCTCTTCAACTCTCCTTGGAAAAGTAATAGTTCAACCAGATCAGAATTTCACGGGATTGATTGTTAGCGTTGTCTCGGTATCAGTAATACTTTTAGTATTACTTGGGCTTTTCCTGTGGCTGAAAAAGAGAAAGCAAATTAAAGGTATATTTTTCACGTTATTTGTTTTAAGAAATTCTCCTAAGAATAACCATTACAATTTAACTTTGTCATAGATCTTGTGTGCCATCTTATATGTAAACCATAAAACCCGTGAGTTCTTAACACTAGGTCAAACTCTAATGGGAACCATGATACCCAAGACTTTAACAAGCTCTTTCTTTCTCTATTTTAAGATCTGGGCAGTGACTTAGTTCGCTATGATGCAAGAGTGCACACTCCTCATTTGGATAGGCTTGTAAGTGCCCGAAGTGTAAGTCCAACTACAGAAATGGTTTCAAATGAATCTGTAGACTACCGAGCTACTTTTCCAGAAGGTATACTTTATTGTTCTAGAAATAACTATACATTTAACTCTGTGGGTTGTGACGTTGTTGTTTTACTTTTTGCCTTTATATTTTTATAAAAATAAAAACAAGCACTTAACCTCTGCCAAAGAGGTGTGAACCTGACACAGAATTACATGGCTCTTACTTCTAAACGATGTATATTTTCTAACTTTAGAACCTATGAGCTCTCATCTCACAAAAAAACTAATTTTAAAATAATTTGAGCAGTAGTAATTTGTGTATCACCAGAGCATGATGCTGAGAAATTATGAACTCTTTACAACTCCAAGAGTTAAGTTATAAACCATATTTTTGTTTAAATATAAGTTGTAACTACTACATTTATTGAATCCCAAACATTTTGAATTATACTATTAGTAACCTTTTGAAGCATTCTCAATGAGCACGGTCTTTTACCTATTACACTCTAGGAATTGAACACATTTTGAGTCTTAGCCAAGAATAACCTTCAATTATGCTATCAAACAAGGAGAAATCAACATCATCTGCTTTGCAAAACATTAGGCCTAATAATGGTCAGGATGGCCACAGCATTTCACATTGTTTAATTTAAAAATCTCCTGGTCAAAGCAAAGTGTCTGTATTGTACCAACACCATTATCTTTAGAAGTTACAGGACATGAGTCAAGTGCCAGCATTTCCCTGGTTTAATATTTACCACTGGACAAATAAAGTGAGTCACAGACAGTTGCAGATACTGGAAAGTTAAAAGGTGCTCATCCAAACAAGTACAAGAACAATCATGCTTAACGTGTTAACTTTCTTACCACTTGCTGCCTCTAAATTTTTTGAAGTTTGTGTTATCACTATAGAGATATATGTTATAAATATTATCTTTGTCCACATGACTTCTCACCTTTAGAAATTATTCTTTAGCAGTATGGACAAATCAAATCCTAGTGTGTTTTGAAATTTAGATCTAGTTACTATTTTATATTCATATTTGATAACTAACCTGAGATAATTAGAATTCACAATACCTTAAGAAAAAAAGCTTTTATAATCTTCCAAACTCCTTACTCAGCAAACCTCTGTCATCATTGCTAAGACAAGGAGCTTCTTTCCCATGTCCACTGTGAACCTTTCTTGGAAACATGGAAAGGTAAAAACTGGCAAAAGAGGACCTTCCATAGAGAAGACAGAGGAGAATGCACAGCTGGCAACCACACAGCTATAGAGCCTTCCTCTGTCATTATTGAGAATAGCCCAAGAGTCATTAGAAGACCCAGAATTCTCTGTGGTGTTCCATCAAGGTCACACATTGGTGGTCTAAATTGGTTTCTACACATATTGGAACTTAGCTAAAGGGTCAGTAGAATTTCCCTGCCAGAGGACTTTTGTCCTTATCTCACTAGAGATTTCCCGAGGTCCCTGCAGCCCTAAGAATCTATAACTCTTACCTCCAGAAGCATAAGTTTAGAAAGTGAAGGTGAAGGTAGGAGTTTCAAGAAGCTTATTTGCATTTCCAATCCCCTGAGGAAAGCTTGGAGAGCCAAACTCCTTGAGATCTGAGGAGCCAGCATCTAAGTACGCTTCCTCCTTCCTTTACCAGCCCAGCATTTCAGATGGTCCGCTAACTTCTACATCCTTCTTTTAATGCTGCATCTGTCTTATTTCCAACTAGTTATTACCAAGGCTGTAGGTGCCCCACAAACTTTTGTGGAACCACTTTTGAAACTCATTTCTCTGGCCAAGTATTTGTTATTAATCAAATATGAGCCACGGAAAATACTACAGATGCTTAGATGGGATTAGAAATAGTCAAGATGCCATCAACTTTCGTGTCCCAAAATCAGATTTTCTTATTTGCATACAGAGAATATCATCTGTTGGTGCCAATAGGCACACACACACACACACACACACACACACACACACACACACACACTCACAGCCTTTCATGTGATACACTGTGCTTCAGTGCCCTGCCTGGTTTCTCTTCAGTCACTGCCCAATTATGATGCTCCTCTTTGATAGATACGTATTCTGGGGCATTAGGCAAAGCAGCATCTCAGCAACATAGTTCCCTAGCCTTGAAATAGAAAATCGCTTCTTCTCCCAAAACAGCATCTTGCCTGAAGCACTCCAGAGTTTTTGTTGTAAAGATCACCTTACAAGGACCTCCTGTGCAAGTGCCCTCAACTAGGCAGTGGGATGGCACACAAACCCAGGTCCAAGCTGCCTACTCTGAATGACGATAACTCTACTGCCATGACCATAAGGTGGCGAATTTATCACTACTGTGAAAACCTTTCAGTTCTGAAGATATCACCATTATGCATTTCTAATTACATATATATAATTACATGTATATGGATTGAGCATCCATGACCTGAAAACCTAAAATCCCAAATGTTCTAAACTATAAAACTTTATGACCAATGGCACCATGCTGAAAAAGTTTTGACTTTTTGAACATTTCAGATCAGGGATGCTCAACCAGTAAATTCCTTACAGCTATCAAGAAATCTGAAATGCAGTACTTCTGATTCCAAGCATTTCAGAAAACAGTACTCGGTCTGTATATAATTGTGTGTGTGTGTGTGTGTGTGTGTGTGTGTGTGTGTGTGTGTTCCAATATGTATTTTTCCTTGGTTGGGAAGTCATATAGATTTCCATAATTTTTGTTATTACTTTTGTTAGTAAACACATCTCCTAAAAGAAACTTTTCATATTCTTACATTTAAACTGAACTTTTTGAGATCAACTCACTGCTTCCTAAAGATACAACATTCAAAAATGAACTTCAATATGATTTTTTGCTATTAATCAAAAGAAAAATGCCTTTCTTTGATGGTACATCAAATGAGGGCACATAACTTTCAGAGTTAACAGTCTACATAAAGGAAAATCATAAATGTTTTATAAAATAAGCCAGTATTTTTCCCGACTTACTATACCATTTTTATCAAAGGCAATCCCTAGCCTTATCTGTTATAAGCACCACTTCTTTAATTTTAAAATTGTGACCTCACTAATAATTTAGTTTGCTGCCTTTTTGCAGTCTTCATTAAGTGAGGTTTCACTATTGTGTTCTTGTAATTTTGCTTTATGTTGCAGATCAGTTTCCTAACTCATCTCAGAATGGATCATGCAGACAAGTGCAGTATCCTCTGACGGACTTGTCCCCCATCCTAAATAGTGGAGACTCTGATATATCCAGTCCATTACTACAAAATACAGTCCACATTGACCTCAGTGCTCTAAATCCAGAGCTGGTGCAAGCAGTCCAGCATGTAGTGATTGGGCCCAGCAGCCTGATAGTGCATTTCAATGAAGTCATAGGAAGAGGTAAGTATTTCCACTCAGCTTTGTGTTAAATACGGTTTTCCAGTAAGCATTTTATCTTCTGCCTTTGCAGATTAGGAATTTAGACAATGGTGAGAGCAAGTGACAGAGAAGTGATAATGAGTATACTTGATTCCTGGTCTGCAAAAATGCAGCCTGCAGATCAGATCCAGGGGACTTGTGTCTGTGCAGGGAGGCAACTGGATAACTTCCCAAATTTCTTTCTCATCTTTCTCATAGTAGCAACTGTAGTTTCTTGAACCATGCCATTGATTTCCTTTTAAAAAGCATTCCTTTAAGTTCCAATATTTTCAGTTGTATCTGCCGCCAGCCTTCCTTTACCTTGAAAACATGAAGCACTGGTTTATAGCAGCTTATACACAACTGGACAGCATCAGAAGACAGGAAATTTATAGCATTCCCACAATCTCAAGCAACATATATCATCTCCACAACACACTCCAATTTCTTTATACAAAGAGGAATGAATATTTGTAATAAGCTAGCCAGAGCTGCAGTAACAGCTAGTATAAACAGTATCTGAAGAAATATTTAGCAGGAAAGGAAAGCAACCAGAAGCCAGGAAGTGAACTGCAATCTTTTTTTTTTTTTTCCTAAGCTGCTTTTACTTTAATACTGAATGACCTATGATCTGTTTTACACTCTATGTCCTACAAGAGGTTGTATGGGTGTCTGCCACTATAATGCAAGAGAAACTGATGGGACTATTTGCCTTCCATGAACACAAGGTGTCTCATTTTCCTGTGGTGGCATCCATACATCCTGTATCAACGCCAGAGTTTAATCCTGAGCATGCTACCCCCTACCCCAAAAGCAGGTCATTGTCCACAGACATGTTTCCGTGGCTTACATCACAGTAATAAATGGTTCCATTATCAGCCTTTAATCCCAGTAATTGCACCAATTTTAGAATATGTAACCTCATAACTGGGTTCTATTTCTACCCATTGTAAAATAAGAGGTTTTTTTTTAATTATGGAAGGTGCTGAAATGTCAATTCTTTCTCTGTTGAAGAAATAATCATCAACAGGCTGTAAATATTAGCTGCTATTCGCTTTTACGTTTTTCTCCAGGAAAACAGACTTTATTCCTCCTTGTGTTACAAGAGGGCAGCCTAATGTTTGACACTCAAGGACTAGGCGCTCGGGACATCTGGGCTGAATAGATGAATTAATTAATGAGTGACTTACACAGCTATCAGGCTTTTGGCACCTCAGGGAAAAATTACTGCCCTGGATGAAAGGCTACCATTGGGAAAATGATGTGGTTAAACCTAGAAGGAAATGTGTGCAGTGAGTCAGAGTGAATTTGCTTCATTGGGGCAACTGCCTTTCAGTTTCTGCCAACCTGGTTTACATATTAACTGGTGACTAATGGGGGAAATCCTTATTCTATAATGCTACTCTAATTATGAAGGATAACATTATTATTTCATTTTCATTTACTGGAATATAGGAAGCTTATTTTATTATATTTCTTTGTGTGGACAAAACTATTTTCATTTTTTAGTAATATTTAATCCTTTAAAATAATAAATTTCTTTTATGCAGAGTATTATGCCTTGTTTCAGTGGTTCTGCTATCATTGAATATTTTATTATATTAACTTTTAATAGCAATAATGTCAGCTATGGTTTTTACCATATACAATCATATATTTATCACATTTACAAACGTACAAAACATACATACCCTATATACAGTGGTATCATTACAGTATCCAAACAGTGTACTCTTTGCCCTATGGAGATCATGAAAGCCTTAGTAAACAACTACTGAATAATTAAATATTACACAATTCTAACCCAGTTTTCTCTTTCACATAGGACATTTTGGTTGTGTCTATCATGGGACTTTGTTGGACAGTGATGGCAAGAAAATCCACTGTGCTGTGAAATCCTTGAATAGTAAGTTGCTTACTATTAGATTACGGAGCAGTGGAGGATAATTTTGTAGTTTGCAAATGTATGAAAATCTTATAATAAAATGTTGATTTACACTGTTCCTTGTGGAAAAAATTTAGCTACTGTTGAAATTATGGATCTAAATATGAAATTCTTTTGATCTAGAGAAAGTCTTATTGGGGTAGATTCTTATGAACTTGTTCCCTTTGAAGGTACACGTCAGGGCCCTCATTAGTAAAGGCGTAGAAGAAATGAGGTTCTTGGATGAACTAAGTATCATTTAACTATGTTGAGCTTATAATATTTGTTTTACCAATGACACTTATGGAAACTATTGGAAGCATGTTGGCACATACAATAGTAATGACTCATTTTACCCTTAGGCACTACTATAATTATTGTCTAACCACAACTTCCATTAAAATGATAAAAAATGAAATAAAACAAACAGGAGAGAAATATGCTGGCAGAAAACTGAAATATTGTAAGTCTGGTAATACCTCATTTAGTCACATGTTTGGGGAATGAGTTGATCTGTATAATTGAACTTTCTAAAGAAGTAAAACTTGCCCTGTTTTACTTCTAGAACATTTCTTAAAATTTTAGCTATTATTTATAAACTTTTAAGATAAAATCCATACTGTATGAAACAAAAAATGTTTCCACACATAAACTAAATCTTTATTAATGACCCAAAACCATAATTATAGCCATAAATTACTATTATACAACTCAGCGTGCTACATACTAAGATGTTCCTGGCTCCAACTTGTCCACTTTGTTGACAGTGCTCCCAGGCTTCATTTTTTTCTACTCTCATAAGTAACTTTTTCTTTTTTAGTATGTATTTGTGATATATAATAAATACATTCATTGTGGGAATTGGTACACATATCTTACTTTATTCCTTTTGCTTCCCCTTTGCTGTCTTCCCTGTAATTTCCCCATCCCCAGATCCTTCTCCTATCTCCATAAAATCTGCCTCCAAGTTTCCTATCATCATTTACTTTGTTCTTTCAATTATTTATACTTTGAGTTTCTCATGTAAGAGAAGCCATGCAGTAGGCTTTGTGTCTGATTAATCTTCTTAGCCTGATGGTCTAAAAGTGCATCCATTTTCCTACCAGTAACTCAAATCCATCTTTCTTTATGGCTGAGTAATATTCTATTTGTGTGTATACAACATTTTCTGTATCCCAGTCATCAGTTGATGGGTATATGGGTCACTTTCAAGATTTAGCGATTGCCAAGATTTAGCTCAGTGGCATAAGCACTTTCCTGCCAAGCTCAAGGTTGGGAGTTCAATATCCAGTACCAAAAATAAATAAATTAATTAATTAAATTTTAGGGCCAGGGATTTATCTGAGTGGCAGAAGCACCTGCCTGCCAAGTTCAAGGTTATGAGTTCAATCCCCTGTACCAAAAATAAATTAATTAAATTTTAGGTCTGGGGATTTAGCTCAATGGCATAAGCACCTGAATTCGACCCCCCTAAAAAACATTTTTTTTCTTTTAAATATTTAGCTATTGTGAGTCATGCTGCTATAAAAATGAGTATGCGTGTAATATGATGCCTTTTAACTCTTTCAGGGCGACACCTAGGAGAGGATCAAGTGGAATTTTTAGTTTTAGTTTTTGAGATATAAAGTACTGATTCTATTAATATTAGATTCCAGTAAAATTAATAAATCAATGTTGTTAACTTCAGTGCAGAGTCTAGTAAAATTAATAAATCAGTATTAACTCTTCACTAATGCTAACTAGTATCAACCCCTCTTTGTGTCTCTCTGGAAATGATTAGAATGTACTGCCTACTTAAGTACCATATGATAATTGATCTTCAAATTCTCTTAGCCCATGAATCAGTTAACTATGTCCCACCACCTATTTTTGTCAAATTGATTGAGACACAACCACTTATTGTCTGCCTGCATATAGCTTCTTTCATAGTTCTGTAGCAGAGTTAAACATTTTCCTAAAGACCATGTAGTCTCAAAACCAAAAAATGTTTACTATCTGACCCATTATAGAAAATTTGCCAGGCTGTGTCTTGACAGTTACCATGGAATTTCTATATGAGACAGACTAAGAGTCTATTCGAGGAACAGGTCCCTGGACTTTACCTAACAAGAGAAATGCATGTGGTAACTTGAAGGCACCAGGTGACATTGTTGGGGCCTAGAAAACAATGCCTTAACTATGCTGCTTGGGCACACTGAGTACTCTGAACTCTAAGGGACAGTGGAGGGGCCTCAGAAAAAAAAGCACTTTCTGACCCTTTCCTGCCTTCCACTCTTTCTCTCCTTCCTCCCTCACTAAATTCCTCTTCCCTAAGCAGGTATGGTGTAAACACTATAGCCACTTTCTTCCAAAGCCAGCCATAACATCTAGAATACTACTCTCACTGTCCTCCGTCTTTGTTTTGCAGCTGGCCATTAAGAAATTCTCTGAGCCACTTCGTCTGCTTGTAGCTCATAAGACCCTTACTGGAGAAGGGGTCCTGTCCCATATCCAGGAGCAAGGGATGTTGCACCAAAAGGCCAAGAAGAATCACAACACATGGGCCTGCTGGGTTTCCCTCTCAGTCTGTTAGCATTAGATCACATTTCTATGCACCTGACTATTCTCCATCACATCCAAGCATGAAAGCACTATTTCCCTGCATGCTTAGATCTCTGTTTCTGAAGGCTTCTGTGTCTTATAAAACTTTTATTATTTTTTTGACCCAGTCTTCCCAAAATAGTTAAAGATATCCTATTACAGTGATACATGCACACTAAATCTTAGAAACAGCCTGTGTACCCATCAACACATGAATGAATTACAAAAACAATGTTGTATTTAGACACAGTCAAGTACTGCTTCAATCAAGTTTATCATTAAGGATAAACTTGAGGCATTCATAGGTAAATAGATGGCACCTTGAGACCAAAATATGAAGCAAAATACGTCCGACACACAAACTTAAATATCACATGGTTTCTCATAAATGAGAACTCCATGTAAATGAAGATCAAAGTAAAAGATAGATAATAGAAAGGTATTTTTTCAAGTGGGAATGGAGATGAGAGATGGAGGAAATGGGAGGGAGATGAGGAAAAGGGAATGAATAAAAGAATTGAAAGAAAAAATAGAAATAGAGCTTTTGGGAATGGGAAGGCAAGTGAGAGGTGGAGGAGAAGGGAACAAAAAAGAAGTGGTATATGTTACTTGTACCAGCTTCCAAGATCAGTGTAATCAGTATGTGCTGCATGCGTGTACTAATAAGAAAAACTTTGATTAAATAAATCCATTAGGCTTGTCTATTGCCAACCTGCCTGTAGCTGCAGGAGTTTCATCTGTGCCCCTCACAGTGGGTGAGAAGTGCTCACACCTTTCCACTCCTAGGGCACCAGCTGTGTAATACTGGAGAAAAAGCATCCTGGAGTTGAGATCTGTAGTTTTACATTTCATTACTCTTCTTTTGCAAATTTGACAAAGCAGTCACTGTTCCACAATGAAGTTAATATGTGTGTGTGTGCCCCCTCCCTTCCCCTGATTTCTCAGGAATCACTGACATAGGAGAAGTTTCCCAGTTTCTGACCGAAGGAATTATCATGAAAGATTTCAGCCATTCCAATGTTCTCTCGCTCTTGGGCATCTGCCTGCGGAGTGAAGGGTCCCCGCTAGTAGTCCTACCATACATGAAGCATGGAGACCTTCGCAACTTCATTCGAAATGAGACTCACGTAAGTATATTCCTGAGCCAGCCGTGCACTCAGTATATGCCTGCATTGTGTCTTTTGCAAAGCTATTAGCCAAAGACATTTATGTAAAAAGTGGCATCATTCAAGTGTACCTCAGAGTCTTTTGTCTGGGTGGGATGATGTGATACCTGGGAGGGCATCCTGGCATGATAATTCTTACTTGCTCAGCAAGCAGCCTTGCCGGACCATCCCAGCTGGTCAGTCATCTTTGCTTACTATGTGCCAGAAAGTAGGGCTAGTGACACAAAGCAAACCACAGCCACACAGTTTTATCTCCAAGAGACACTGAAGAGTTAATTACAAATGAATGACTTACTTTTCCTTTACTTGTCACCTGCTCTCCTACCTCAGGACCTTTGTACTTGCAGTTTCATCTGCCTGAAGCACTTTTTCCTCCAGAGAGCCATACATCTCATTCCTTTAGCAATTTTCCTTAAGGTCTTCTTCAAAATGAGGCTTCCCTGATCTGTTTAAAATTGCTACTGACCCACCCCCATTGTTATGCCTTTGGTCTGTGTTCTATTCTTGGTTTTATTTTCCTCATGACACTCACCATCATCTGATACACTGGGCCTGCACTGTCCAGTACTGTGACAAAAAGCCACTTGTGAACTGTCATGAGTTCAAACTAAAATGTATCATCTGTGTAAAGTATATCATACATTTTGAATATTTAGTATAATAAAGAAATTAAAATATTCATAATTATAGGTTAAGATAGTATATTGACTGTTGGGTTAATTAATTTTACCTTGTTGTACTTTACGTATATATGTATATGCATGCCATTAGAATGCAAGTTTACGAGGTTGGACATCTTGGCGTATTTTGTTCATTTCTATAACTCCAGTGCCTAAAATAGTTTTCAACACATAGGCTCTCAGTAAATGTTTGTTGAATAAATGAGCTCAAGGTTACAAAAGAGAACTGTAAGCTCTTGTGAGTGGGACTTTATGACATTTTTATACCAAGACCTAAAGGGTGAACAAATGTTGGCCAGGCCAAGGCCAAACAAGGTGGAAGGGAAAGGAATCCCCAACTGAATTCATTCACAGCTTCACGTTCCTTCTTGGTTCCCTTAGTCCAAGTCTCTGAAAATCAGGAGAGTAGTGCTACTCTTAATCAGAACACCTTTGTAAACACGGAGTGAGGTTCTTAAAAGAAAATGAGGAAAAGAAAGAAATAGTGTTCTACCAAAATGATACAGCAACTCCTTCACAGTGAATTTTCGCAGATAATGTACATTACCTTGCACAGTGTAAAACTGCCCTGACAGATCCCACTTTAACTCGCGTCATTACCCTGATGAGTTAATCTGCTCAGATGCACTGCCTATCCTAAAGTATTGTTCCCCCAGGGTTAAGCACCAGAGATGCTCTATTATCCAGCAGAGAATAGTATTCTGAACTTTTATAAACCAAGGAGTCCATACTAATGATGACCACTTTCACAGATATGTCTTTAAAAGCTGAAAACAAACATGTCGGCCTCCTAGCTCACTCTGTGCATTAGGAGAGCTGCAGCGCATGGCTGGGCCCCCTCTGACTGTGTCTTCTGCAATAGCTGCTAAAGAAAAGGAACCCTCTAGCTGATGGCCAGGCCCTAGTCAGAGCTGTCAGCCCCAATGTCATCTTTATTAAATGTGTCCATCTAGTTTGTGGATGGCATTTACAGGAAATGAGCTGTCCCATTCTCTGTGTGGCCCAAAATTTCAGGAGCCATGAGCTGGTCGGGAATGGAGTCCCAATAGGAAGACTTCTCATTAATGGATTTCAGTACAATATAGCCTTCCTGGCCAACACAAGAGGAAAAAATCCTAAATGTACCACTTACATCTGAGTGGTTTGGAGTGATTCACTTCTCTCTGAGCCTCCTGTGTGTGTTTTCCTAATGCTTTGACATCTGGAGCCTGATAACCCTGAAGATTCTGCTGCTCCCAGGGCTAATTCCTAGAGATGCTCAACAACTTGCCTTCAGAATGCACATTTCATAGGTGAACCAACCACTCCAGCCACTGTGCACCTGCCCTAATTATTCCACAGCCAACTACAAGACAGTGAGTGAGAACCCTACCCCCAACTCCCTAGAGCTCGCAGAAATTAGTCTAGGTAGCCAGTCCTAAACCGGCTTAGCCTGCCTTACCTTTTCTTCCTATGGAAACTATAGTTTCCCTCCCTCCTGCCTCTCCTGTTCCCTCTGCCTTCTGACTGTCTCCTATGCTTTCCCATGTGACCCTGCATGACAAGGCCTTCACTCTCCTCTTAGAAACACTGAGTATCCAACTGTCCTCAGTGGCAGTTGTCTCCTGACCTGTTGGCCTCTTCATACCTGAAGAATAAGACCTTGGGGCTGGGGAAGTTGCTCAGTGGTAGAGCACTTGCCTGACTCTCAAGTGGAGGCCCAAGGTTCAGTCCTCAGCACTGCAAAGAAGAAACGGGAAGTGGAACATAAAAATCTACATTTTAAAACACTTAATTTTTCAGAAGGAATCTGGAGGCTGTAACACCTGCTTTACCAACATATGTAAGAATTAGTCATAATTTATAAAAACTTCTAGCCTATTGCTTTATATGCAATGAATATTTAACAAATAGTTGTGGCTACCAGTGGGGCACTTATTATTTGAGACAAGGTAATTTTTTCAGGCATTTCAGTGTTCTGAGATCAGAGTTAGAACAGTGAGTTCTAAGCAGCTTAGTTTATACTTTTCCATCTCTCTTTGTTTGCAGAACCCAACTGTAAAAGATCTTATAGGCTTTGGTCTTCAAGTAGCCAAAGGCATGAAATATCTTGCAAGCAAAAAGTTTGTCCACAGAGATTTGGCTGCAAGAAACTGTATGTAAGTATGAGAATCTCTGAGCCTGTTACTCACATTAATTGAGTTTGTTTCCCACTGCTCAAGCCAGGATGTTTTTCTCTTCTTATGCAAAAATCCTTTATTTCCTGTACTGTTTTAAATGGATGTATGAGCCCTGTGCGTGTAGGCGGGCTTTCAGGCTTTATCAAACAGAGAATTTAAAAGATTGCTCTTTAGGGGGTCTTAAACAGCTGTTGTGTACTTTTGCATTTCTTGGTCCTTCCCACCAGCGGCCTGCAATGTTGTGGTTTCACACTGTATTAGTGTTTAGGAGGGAGAATTTGATCTTCAATATTTTACAGTGGAAAGGAGAGGGCTGGTAACACAGATACCAATATAATGTAACTTCCCAAGAGTCCATTTGAAGTCAGCCTGCAGAAGCCCTACCAAAAATGGAATTTGGGAATGAATATACAAAGAACTTTTATTTGTTTCTGGCTCCCTGACTGCATAACACAACAGTCAACAGTTTGTAATTCAGAGCTTTCCCTGACACAGCACTGATTCACGACTTATGGTATGTGTGAATGCAAGAACCGTGCTATTAATTTTCTACCTTAGTTTTGGTCCATGTAACACCATAAAAGCCACTTAAGCACAGAATACAAGCTCAGTTAACAGAACCTCGCTGTTTGCTGAGATGATTTAGTGTGTAGCCTATTTCTCTGTTACCTCAGTGGTGAGATAGGAATTCTGTGTCCTGAGCTATCCTATTTGAGAATAAAAACTAAAATAACAGTCCCATGTCATGTCTCTCCCATGAAACTGCATATTGCTGATAAGTTGACAAGTAAAGATCGTGATTGCTGTGGGTAGTCGGTTGGCATGCTGTTTAGCAACCAAGGAAAGCTGAGAGGGAGCCAGCTTTACTTCTTCTCCAGATCTACATAAGAGCCAAAATGATATTTGTATGCTGTAGCATGCACCATCTCACTCCTCAGCCTGTGAATGTCAAGCACTTTTACTCAAGAGTTCTGTTAATTTAGTGTTAGTCAATAGGCCCAAGGAAACATTCCCTTCAGAAGATAGAGATTTCAACTGTTGGTGCCACTTATTCTGATCTATAGATCTATAACACCATTGTAAATTATTCTGTTCTGATCACCAGAAATGATTTTTGCTCTTTCTGCAGGTTGGATGAAAAATTCACTGTCAAGGTTGCTGACTTTGGTCTTGCCAGAGACATGTATGATAAAGAATACTACAGTGTACACAATAAAACAGGTGCAAAGCTACCAGTGAAGTGGATGGCTTTAGAAAGCCTGCAAACTCAGAAGTTCACCACCAAATCAGATGTGGTAATGTGTTGATTATTTCTCTTCTTTTTTATTCATACCCATAATATCATGGCAGTCTAATTTGTGAAAGAATTCAACACCACTAATTTCAGTTATCTTTAAATAATAAGACTGATGTTAGTTGTCTGATAAGTACCTATAGTATATTTTCAGAAATCTACTTGTCTGTTCAAAAGCATTTGTGATATGGAACACTATGCTGGTTCCTTATGATGCACCAGGGCTTGAGATTAGTACTGCCTCTCCTAGCCCTTTGGTACTAGGAATTCTACCTAGAGAATCTGGAAGCTGTAACTGAGGCAAGTCTGGCAGTGAGGACATGGCCTTTGTGCCTGGCTTGAAAATCGTGTTTCTTTATGTGCAAAGTCCACATGCCTGTCAGAGAACAAGCTTCAAAATGCATGCGGGTGAGTACTGAACATAGGCAAGAAACTCAGAGCTGGCACCCAGCTTTGCTGCATCCCCCTCACAACTAATGGAGGAGGCCGGCACCTAGAATGGCCCTTAAAGGACAGCCAGTTTGGAACTGAGCAACTTGGTGATTGGAAATATGAATCCAGATAAGGCAAAGGTGTAGGGAAATAGAAAGATCTTTAAAAATCTGAGGAAATAGTACTTAATTGATGATTTGGTGAGAATGGGGACACTATGAGAATAAATTTAGAAAAATATATTTGTACTAAGTCATGAAGCTTTCTTAAAAACCACAGCAGAAGGTCTGCCTGTTACAGCCGTTTTAGATTTATCAGAAGTGACAAAACTAAGCAGGACTCAAGAGAGGGGGAGAACCAAACTTTATTGTGCCAGCAGGCTCAAAGGAGCTGCGTATTCCAAAGTCTGAGCCCCGAGCCTTTGTTGGGGCTGTTTTACATAAAGCTTTTCGGCACGAACATGCAGATTGAGTACAGAGGCAGAATGGGGCGTGGTTAAGCATAGGCAGGCTGTACAAGCAAGATAACAGAAACAGAACAAGACAGTTGGTTTGTATAAGCTATACATTTTGGTCTTAAGTTTCAAGTTCCCAAAGTTTTGTTTTCTTCATCATGTCCATGTAAAACATAAACATGTAATCAAATTAGATTGTAGTCTTTATGAATTCTGTAAGATGGCTTGCAAGATGTAGAGCCTTAAGATGACACAAGAAAAAGAACATGAAATAATATGGAAGCAATGATAATGGATAAGAAGAGGTAGAAGGAAAGACATCACACAGGTAGAATCAACAGTATTTAGCAAGAATTGATAGAAGTCAAAGATGAGCTAAGTTGTAAGCTGGTGCAATAACCAATATGTGAAAAAGAAATAAAATCTGGAGTTGGAATGAAAACAAGTTGAACCTTGAATACATTGAGTTTGCCTTGGGTTCATCAGGCACTTGAAAATGAGAATGTGCAGCTATTTTTGTTTCGTTTTTAAGTCAGCTAAGGCTGGAAGAACAAAAAGCAAAAGGAAACAAACACTTGGGTAATCTCAACAATTGAAATTTATTACTAATGGGTCTGGAGGCTAGGAATCCAAGATTAGGGTGCCACCATGGTCAAGCTGTGGTAAAGGCCTCTTTCTAGTTTACAGACGGCCATCTCACTATGTACTCTTGTGGTCAGGAGAGAATGACCAACTTTCTGGTATCTCCTATAACTGTACTTATTCCATCACAAGAGCTCCACCTTTGTGATGCAACAGCAAGTAGAAACACCAAAGCAGCATCCAGATTTGGAGGCAGATTTATTCACGTCAACAGACACTGATCAGGATCATTCCCAGAATATCAGGCCCAGATCTCTGATGGTCTAGGGCTTTTATATGATGTACAAGTAGGAGGTACAAAGCAGGTACAAAGGGGAGACAGCACAGCCTGGTAGTTCTTCTGAGTAGCTAAAAGGGAAAGATCATTGGTTACAAGAATAGATCAATGATCATCATTTCATAAAGCTTAGTGCAATAGTACAATCAGGCATCCTGCATATTCACTTATGCTTTCATGGTTTAGAGGGGTGAACAAAGTAATTACAAAGCCATGAAGCAGTTTAGAGCTATACAGTTTTAAAAGAACAATTTTTTTAGAAAGTTTTAAGAAGAGTGATTTGCCTTGTACAGTTTTTCCATTGCAGTGACCTCATCTAAACCTAATAACATTTTGAAGGTCTGTATCTCCAAACTCAGTGACATAGCAGAAGTCAAGGGTGGAAATGTAATTTTAAGGGTCCCAAAATAATTATTTGAAAGAATCTGCTATGAAATGAGGAAGAATTGCAGAGTGGAAGCAGACCCAGGAGAAGAGACAGCCATGAAAGCCACAGGAAAGAACAAGTCTCAGAAACAATGGGGTGGTCAGCAGCTCCCCTGCTTTCATTGCACTTTTGCTGCAGGGTCTTTTGGAAGCTGAGCAGCTTGAGTGACTTGAAAGTCTTTGTACTAAGGAGCCAGGGAATGGAATTGAGACTGTGTGTGGTCTCCAGGTAGAAAAACATTTGATATTTCAGACATTGAAAATGGCATGGAGAAAATTTTTTTTAAAAGGACAACCCATGATACTGGTAAACAATGTAAAAGAATGCTCATAGAGAAGAGAACCTAAAAAGTGAAAGGCTGACCACTAGTGAGAGGTGACAGGCAGCTGCGGGCAGTACTGGGAAGTGAGAAGTCATTGCATTCCTTTCCTGCTGAGTCAGCAAAAGCAAGAAGCGTGACCCCTATTAGTAAGTCAAATACATGAGGATCTTCTAGTGACAACTAAGTTTCAGATCCTGTAAGGAAATGAAGAAAACATCAGAAAGTAAATTGAGGTGACTCACAGGATTTTTTGGTTTTTGTTTTTCCAATAAATAAGCGAGTCATCAGACATCATAGAGGCCAGTTATATCAGGTTGATGAAAAGAAAGGTGCAGTCTGTGATAGAGTCAGTGCCTGGAATTTTGATATAGAAAGATTCTGAAAAAAATTAAACAAATGAATAGTACAGAGGGGAGACGGGGGTATATTAGCCGGTGGCAGGTAAAAGCAAAAAGTAGAAAGGACTCGCCCTCCTCGAAGAACATCCTGTTCATTCATGAATTATTCCCAGTCTGTCACTAGATGCCAACTCTCCTAGGCCTGGTGGTGCTTGCACTCTATAAGTTCTGGCACTCTATAAGATTCACCCAGGAGTTTCATATCAGCCTAGGCAACCTAATGAAACTGTCACAAAATAAAAAAGGGCTGAGCTCAGTGCAAAGGTCCTATATTCAATTCCCAGTACTACTGGGGAAAAAAGGAGATTTGAATAGACATTTTACAAATAATGTTTGAATAGCTAGCTAATAAGCATGTGAAAGGAAAACATACCCACAGGAAGCCTTGTACGTGAGTCATCATAGTAGTTTTATTCATAATAGCCAAAAAACAGGAGCATTCCTAATGTCCATTAACTGGTAGATGGACAAACAAAATCTGGGTATCTATGATAGAATGATGCCATTCCACAATATAAAGGAAATAGTGATGCATGTGAAACCAGGCAGACAAGAGATTACACGTTGAATGATTCCATTTGTATGAAATTTCTAGAAAGTGGCAGAAATACAGATACAGAAAACAGATCAGTGATTACCTAGGCCTAAGGATAGAAATGAGGATTTACTACAAAAAGGCATGAAAGTACTTTCAGGGACGTTGAAAGTGATCTAAAACTGAGTTGCAATGATACCTCCAAACTATATAAATTTACTAAGCATCATTGTGTACATTTATACTTAATAAATTTTATATTCTATAAATTATATATTAGCAAAGCTTGTTTTAAAGTCGGAGTCTACTGAAATTTTGGGTATTCAAGGCAGGATTGGGGATTCTGAGCTTTTTGAAAGACATACAGACTGACACACAAATACACCTCCACTTCCAGTACCTCAATACACATATATGCACATGTCTGGGGATAGGGAAGGACAGTGCAATACCCAGGTATTGACTGTATCTATGCCAGTGGCATTTCTCAATGCAAGACACTATCCTGAATGACATAAAGGCTGAACCTGCGAAATCCACGTATAGTGTTGCTTTGGCAAGGTTATTGATTGTATGGATAAATTTCCATACTTTCATTGCAAAGACAGTAGCTTTTCAATGTCAGCATGTAACACTTCCAAAAACATATATAATAAATTATGTTGAGACCTGTAAGCAAAAATGTGCTTGCTTCTTGATAGCTTTCCTTTCTAGCAAATGCCTAGCAAAATTTGGTTAAGCTCAATATTCTTCAAGTATATTCAAACCAAACTGGAAACTACTAGCATCCAGCATTGTGCAGTGTTTCACAATTAGTATATGAAGTTTTTCATTAAAGTCTGAATTGACTTCTCCATTGTTCAAATCACATGACTTCTGTCAGTCTCATCCTACCTCAATTCTGAAGCATTGACATTGTTGACCATGTCTTCCATCTTGACATATCCTCTTTCTGTGAGTTTCTGGGCACAGTGTCATCTCATTTTCCCCCTGCTTCTGAGTGTGTTTTCTTTATGCTATTTGTTCCCTTCATTCTCTCTTACCTGCTAGGTGAGGCTATCCCCCAGGATGTTTGTCTTCAGGGATCAAATTCCCCCAACAATTACAAGTATTGGCATCAACAAGTCACCTTTGACCTTCTTTACCTGGAGGTCAGCATCAGCATCACAAATTTGCCATGTTCAAAATCAAAGTCTTCTCCACCAAACTGACAACCCCTGACCTGATTTCTATAGTATTTCATGGCATCATCATGGTGCATTTTACCTACCTGTCACCGTGTTTAGTGTACAGTTCCGCCAGTTCCTACAAATGCATACAATTGTGTGACCACTACAATCCAGATACAGAGCATTTCCATCATTCAGAAAATTTTCTTGTGTCCTCTCATAGTCACTTCAACCCTGTGTCCACAACCTGGAAATCACTGGTTTGTTTTATGTCTCTGTAGGTCTTTCTTTTTTCAGGATGTCGTATAAATGGAATCATACACTCACTAGCCTTTTGAGTCTGTC